TTTTTGTTGTTATGAGGGATGTATAAATTCCCTGCCACGTCCGGTCTGTGTTTTTGTTAGATGTTTTTCTACTTTGCATCGATCTGATGGGTTAAGCCCTTTTCAACTGATTTTTACATCGCGATGACCTTGAGGTCATCCCGATGTAATGCTATCGCCTAGATTTCCATTATGTAAATTAGTTTTGGGTTTGTAACCGATCTATAAACATGATAAATATGCGCACATAAACGAGTGCAAAATAACATTCCTTATCGTTTGATATAAATACATCTCTTCAATGAATACTGATAAAAATATTTTTGTTTACAACATAAATTAATAATATGAAAATGTTTTGTAGTTAGATATATATATATAAGTACAAAATCATTGATAATATCAATGCACACGTACCGAAAATTGTGTTAAAGCATGCGGAAAGGACCGGTAACTCTGTAATTGTTTTTGCGGGAAAATATGAATGCCTACTCGTATCCAATCTTAGAAAAATCGAATTTTTACGGAAAAGTGTCCACCATGCACTTGCATTGCACTATAATTAGAATAGCAGAATAGAATGATATACAAATGGATGCAAATCATATATATATTTAACTGTTATTTTAATATAATATATAACAACAAATCAGTGTATACTGATTTGTATCACTACAATCTAATAGTTATTACGGTGAAGTTGAATTTCCTGTCATTTATTCATCATCCACGCACGAACTTGTCTCAGAAAAAAATATATCTCTGTACATTAACCTCAGTTTCAGGTAACAAGATATGTTGTTTTTTTCTGAGAAAAGTGCTTTTGATCATCCTCAAGAACTTGTGGTCATCCGATGTTCAGTACTTCAGTACTTTGATTATAGTTTGTTCTTATGTCGTACGGTTGCCTATAATTGCTTACATACTTTATTGGAACTTTGGTGGGTAATTGTCTCATTGGCAAGCACACCGCATCTCCTTATTTTTATATTACACAAGAACAAACAATAGACACTTAAAACTAGTTAAACCAAGGTATATATATATATATATTGACCTCCATTGGATTTTGTTTTTTTATGATTGTTTTTCAACAATTTGAAAATATAAAAACGAAAAAGAACCCCATTGTGATACATACAGCCTTTCATTAAGAATAATGACCCGTGGAGGCTTCGTTTACATGCATGTTTTCAATAAAAGAATATACGCTGATTTTACGACAAATAACCCTGTTTCTCCTATTTTCTTGTCTTTCATAAAAATATAACATTTCCGCGACAAAATTAAATAAAACTTAGTTGAGTGATACAAGTGTTGGAAAGTGTTACGACCAAAGAGGGCGGGTCGGGTAATCCGACTCTTATATATCTTTTTATGTAGTTAATAGTGGTGAAACCTCACACCCTTGATACGAAAGGAGGGAAACCGAAGATCTAGTAAAAAGAAAGTAAATCAAGAGACAAAAATAACCGGGGACTAGAACAGCACAGAATGACAATGGGACACACAAACGCCGAAATATAAAGACAAATAAAAAACACGGACCCGTAAAACGAAAAGGGGGACGAGGATAAGGACCCAGCAGTCGCAATATGCATGTGTATCAACTCCAAGGCACTGAAACAAATATCCCGCATGAGAAGAATAATCGGAATCTAAAGGGACAACCAAAAATATTACCGAAAACATAGTTGGTCTTTTGGAGAAAATTAACCCATACACTTATGACAGATGCAATGTTGGAATAATCAGCTGTCGGAATAATGGTTGTCGGACTAGTGGGATGTCACCGATTTGTCTTTGCCCGCATGAGAAACACGTGAACAAGTGAACGCCTCAGTTTAACCTCAGTGTTTGGTTGACAGGCGCTTAGGGCATGCAACCCATTATTTCTTATGTGTGTTTATGTGTGTATTTCTTGTGTTTTAATTTTATAAGTAAATATTCTTTTTTCACTTAATCAATGTGTTCTTGTTCTTAGTCATGCAATGTTACAATAACACTAGTTTATATTTGGAGCTACTCTGTTTTAAAAATAAGAATGGAAGGTCAGTTTATATAAAAGCATAAACGGCAGATTAGCGGTACTAATTTTACTGCACCAGATGCGCATTTCGACAGTAAATGTCTCTACAATAATGCGCGAGATCAAAATATTTGAAAATCCAAAACTTATTAAAATCAAAGTGTTGGATAGCACTTAGTCTATGGAAAGATTGCAACTGTAGTTGTGTATTATTTCAAATATAAATTTAATCACAGCTTTGTCATAGGCGGATCTAGGGGGGCCTTGGGGGCCCGCCCCCCCCCCCCCCCTTTCGTGGGAAAAATTTGGTTGATTATATAGGAAATCACTGGAGCGGGCACCCCTTAGGTCAGTCAGCGGGCCCCCTCTTATGAAAAGTTCTGGATCCGCCACTGTTTGTTGTTTGTTATTTATAATTAGTTGTAGTATCAGCAATCATAGTAAATCACCTTATTTTTTATATGTTTATCGTGTTAATTTTGAGTTTTTATTACAACGTTGCCGGAGACTTTGAATCTCACTAAACATAGGGTACTTTAATCTTACTTACACACTTTTTTAATGCATCGGGTTAGCCATACACATCAACATCATGTTTTATTGAGTACTTACAAAAACAAATCTGGTGATTTCTGCTGATGTACTAGTGAAACTTGTTGTTTCAATTATATACCTAATGTTTTTTTTTCACATTATAATTGTGTATTTCCTGTTGTTTAGTATTATACATATTGTAAAACAAGAATGATACCAAAAATAAGAAGATGTGGTATGATTGCCAATATGACAACTCTCCACCAGAAACCAAATGACGTATGTCATAAATTTACTAATCTAGCTGTTTTCATGATTAAATATTATTCCTTATAATCAAAAACAATTTTTTGAATTATCAGTAAAACTGTTTCTAAGTCATTTATTCTAAGTTTACTATTCTAAGCAGTAAGCTCAAACACATGGTACTTACATAATCGTGGTGTTTGTAAGATCAAATTATGATATTCCCAGTGTAGAAATAAGAAGATGTGGTATGATTGAAAATGAGACAACTCTCTACCAAAGACCAACTTACATAGAAGTTAGCAACTATAGGTCACTGTATGGCCTTCAACAATGAGCAAAACCCATATCGCATACCAAGCTATAAAATGCCCCAAAATGACAATCTAAAACACTTCAAACGAGAAAACTAACGACCTCATTTATGTACAAACAGAAATGATATACAGCAACAAACGACAACCACTGTATTACAGGCTAATAACTTTGGAAAGACACATACATAATGTGGCGTGGTTAAACATTTTTGCCGGCGTCAAGCTCTCCCCTAGTCTGGGACATTGGTGTAACAGCACACAACATAAGAACAACTATATAAAAATCAGTTGAAAAGGGTTTAACTGATCATCAAGTCCATACAATGCACAAAAAGAACTCACAATAACACTATAGGTTGTACCTCAACGGGTTTTGATAATTTTCAATCTCCTTTTTTTAAATTTTGTTTGAACGTATGATTTTAGTTTATCATCAGTATTGATTAATATTATAATAACATTATATAATTTATTTGGCGTTCGAAGTGCTTTTCTGGAAGTTACCTTCATCAGGAACACGCAACCCCTATAAACATTGAAAGCCAAGGATGTATAACTAATTGATACTTCAGGAGCTTATAACCAAAAACTGAATTAAACGGGACAGCCAAATCTTAGTAAGTTCAATTTTATCTTTAAATCTATGTTTTTAATTATGGTTACATTTTTGTCTGATTCACAAAAAGTCTTTTTTCATTCTATACAATTTACAAAGGGCTGCAGTATATTCAAATAAATTTATGTTCAATATTGAAGTTTTTATTCTAGTTTTATTCCCTTTTTAAATATTTTGCAACCCATGTATCAATGGCTTTCAAGGCTTTTATCTTTAAACTATTTCAGGCTAAAGCTGCAAGTTCGTCGTTTACTTTTCTCTTCTACAGATGAAGTTACACAAACTTTCAACATCTCAATCCCAAGAGTTTATTTAATTTGGTGTAATGAGGTGATTTTTACCAATGTCATGACTTTCAACTCTTTTCTAGTTCACTTGTCATTATAAACACATTTTGGCATATATTCACGCTAACATTTACGTAACTATTTTGTTCGTAGAAAGAATGCGAGTCCCGTGGCACTTATTTTTATCTTTTTATCTTTTAGAAGCATATTATAATAATATACCTTCTCATATCTTATCTTATAATTCTATACTTTATAATTTCCCCCCTATATCACACTAAATTGGTTTTCCCGTGTATATTCTATTCAAAATTTGAAAATTTGGCACAGCATGTAGCTTGCAAAAAGCTCCGTGTCCCGTACTTTTGTTATTGTAAAAAAATCATGATATAAATAGCATTTTGTCTAATTATTTAAAACTTCTATATCGATTTTAATATAGACTCCTAACGGTCATACAAATTTTGAGTACGATTATTGTACTCAGACTTAGATTTCAACCAATCAAAATACTGGATTTGATGTTTCGAGCACAAATGTATTACTCCGTGTACTGAGTAAAGTTTTATGACCGATATCCACCTTAACATATTTAAAGTAGTTTTACATAATAGTGAACGGAACGGATATGATCCCCGTGCCGGAGATCAAATAAGAATATTCAAGCAAATGCAACACCAGTCTGAATTACTAGTAGTCTACTTTGTGAATTCTTCAGCGTTAACTGGCGCAATTCCAACAAAAAATTGTTTTTGTTGGAATTGCGCCAGTTAACGCTGAAGAATTCACTGACAAAAATATGAAAAAGTTAACACATGGTACGTAATACTATCATCAAATAAATGAAATTTCGTATGATAACAAATTTGCAAGAGCGACTTTGTGATGTGTGATACTGATGGCCAAAAATGTTGAGAAATTTCAAAAATATTAAACCATTATCATTTTTATCTTCATATGTTTTTTTTTTTTATTTTCAGTAATTTTTTTTAGATAACAGAAAAAAATGAGAAAATACAGAATAAAAAAAAAAGAAATACAAAACACACAATGGTATAGAAGTTCCGCAAGGTAAAACTTAAATTGCGCCGTATTATTCCACTTTTAATATATTTTATTTATCCAACCGGTTGAGGAACCAATGTAGAAGCATGTTTTTCTAACCAGTCTTCGTATATTTTTATTTGATTGCATGATGCAATTAAAATGTCATCAACAGCTATATCACTTTCCCATGGCGTTGTACTTTGTCCTATGTCCACTTCAATTATAATGTCAATCTATAAAATGGAGAAAAAAGGTCTACCGTTAGCCATCATTTAAGGAAGTCAAAAATTATATTTACAAGCAGCGTCTGAAGGAGAAAATTCCTTTTTTATTCTGTTTCAACAGTTGTATAGTGCTTGTGTGTGTGGCTCATCCATTCGTTAGTTCATAATTTGTCACTTACTAGTACACGATTTGTCTTCAGCAACCAGTTAAAAAAATTACACTTCTTTTTTAGTTTATAAAAAATATATAATAACAATAGAATAGACAATTAAACATAGCAGTAGAATATGGAATGCAGAAACAAGTTTTGATTTGTTGTTTTAATCCATCCCAAAAATTATTTATCTATTGTGAGAACGTCATCGTTAGTTAAATCTCGTGATTCTGATTTTTCGGTTGTTGTTTTGAACATAGCATCATTTTTTACAACTATTGATTGGCATCTAGAACATATATTGTAAAGTTGGAAATCATGTTTTGGTTTCTAGATGGGTAACTTGTGTTGCTGGTCAAATCTCTCCATGACTAATACCACATCTTTTCTTTTATTCATAAATATTATTTGGTTTAATCTTTCCATTTCTTTTAGCTTTCTATACGTCAATGGCTGCAACAATGCTTACCATTTAGGAGCTACTAAGTTCAAGCCCCGTTTTTAATTGAGTTGACGTGTTGCTTAATATGTTAATTTCTAAACTTCAATGTTTTTTGAGTTTCTGTTTTTTTGAATTTTTGCTGTGGTGATGCCTGTTTGTTTATAATTACGATTTTAAACGGCCCCTTTTAGTTCTTCTGACTTTTAGCGTACCCAGTACAACTTAAACATTTCGCTTCTTAAAATCTACTTTCATCTGAAAAGTTTGGAAATCAACTTTGCTTCCCAACCGATACGATTTTCTACAGAATACATTGAATCATGATAAATTCTTTGATATAGGGTTACAACTTACAATGAAACTAATGCATCAAAGGTTCCAAATGGTAAAAAGGAAGTCATTTCCTCAAAAGTTAGCGGAAGCCATCATGATTTGGTTGACCGTTATTGAATCTATGTCAATGATGACCACGGTTCTATTTGTCTTGACCACTTTCTCTTTTCCTCAATCGTGAAAATACCTAATGCAACTTGTTACCGTATTGTTTTACTTTGCAATGAGTAATACGACGTGTGCCATTAATGGATCAGAAATCTCTTACTCTTCTGGAGTGCCTGAGTTCACCACCGATTTATGATGGGGTTCGTTTTCTGTGTAGTGTTTTGCTATTGTTTTCGTTTGGACCTTAAGACTTTTTATTGTTCTTTTGGTATTTTCTCTCTCTTTTTTTTTTGCATTATAGAATTGCAGTCTTCCTATTAAAGGTAAGAGTTTGCATAAGACATAATTTAGCTTGATAATACTAAGGGGACACACCGTCTACAAACATTGGCATCGACCTATAGTAGTTGAAATTGATGTAAAACCTACCTATTCCTTTAAAATGCATATTGACAGGGATAATCTTCACCGCAAATACTCACAAACAAAGGATGAGAAAGATCTAATGTATACAATGGGAATTATGTGATTGCGAGTCTTATGGAATAGACTCAGAACTCAAAATTCCAAGTTCAGCTTTACCTTACAGGTCAGGTTTTTAACAAACAAGCACTGACTTACATTTTGATTGAAATTCAATGCTTACGATTTCTAATATTATAAAAAAAACATACCATTTTACCAATTGAATCTGGCTTGATTTGCGCTGAAATGATTCTCCGTATCCATTTCTGGGAATTTGTTCCATCATCTTTCCATATCAGTTTTGTTTGTGAAGTGTTTGATGGTGCTACGTACACCTGAAGCGAACCTGGAACTATTCCTTTGCCATATGTATTAGAATAAAATCTGCAACATTTATCAGTTGTTTCGATAATATTTTTACGGAATCAAATACGGTATGAATATTAGTTTTCTTTGTATATTATGATAATAAGGTATGATATTGATAACTTCCCTTTGTGGTAGATGGACAATATATTGTTAAATGATATAGTTACGGTTGCATACATTGTAACACGGCACCTTTAATCATATTCCTCCAAAACATTTGCTTACAAAAATACATACCTCTATTCACAAACTTAGGTCTTTTTTGTGCAACTGGCTCATTAATATTGTGTTTTTTTTCAAAATTTCCCTCGTGTTAATAAATCGAACTAAATGTCTGTAAACGCTGTTATTTTTGTTCAAACCGATAACCTGCTAATATTGCATATTTTGTATCATTTAAATGTTACTTTTGCTCATTAAAATCCAATGTTTTCCATTTTATTGTATTTTGTTTTCATTTGAATTTTATGTTTGTTTAATTTTATTGATTTATTTAATTTGATATATTTTTTTTTCAGTTTGTATTTTGTATTGTTCATTTGAAAACGACGACGGATATGTTCCAATTGTAACCACAAACTCGTCCTCTTTTCTTCGAATGTGACCTACCGATTTAGACTAATCACCGTGTTTGTACACGAGTCGACGAGTGCCACATGTAGGGCAGGATCTGCTTACCCTTCCGGATCACCTGAGATCACCTTGGTTTTAGGTGTATGGGGTTCGTGTTGCTCAGTCTTTAGATTTCTATGTTGTGTTTTGTATACTGTTGTTTGTATTCTAGGTCGTTTTTCGTTTTTTGTCATGGCATTGTCAGTTTGTTTTCGACTCATGAGTGTGATTATCCCTTTGGTATCTTTCGCCTCTCTTTTGCGTTGTTTATGTGTCCATATTTATTTTTTAAACATTCCTTGATATTTCACAAATTGAATAATTGACATAGCTCTTTTTTCTTATTATGACCAATAAACTTTAAAAACTTCTGCTTTTCCTCCATTGACACCTTTACACATTTATTATGCTAATATTTGGCCACGTATCACAGGCACTTGTCTCAGAATTTTTTTTCCTATATACCTTAATTTATATTAAGGTAAATAGGATTTTTTTTTTCTGAGACAAGTGCCTGTGCCACGTATGCATAGTTTAGTCAAATAAATCTGAATGAACGTTAACTTACGACATGCAGACTCCTCCCTGAACATCGCCGTGACTGATATTAGAATTCCTCATTCTGAATTTCCTTGTTTGGTTATGCGTTTGTTTGTATTTTTCAGAACTTTCAACATACATATAAAAACCTTAAAGGAATACGTAGAACAATTAGAATTGTTTCGAAAATTTCATGGATATGACTGCCGTCTCCAAACAGCAGTCGGAATCAACACTTTGTTATATTTCCTGCTTTGTTAATTGGAAATTTCAAAATATCTAATTTAATTTGATTGGTGTGTAAAGAACGACATACTAAGGTCAAATATCAACATTGTACACGATATATGACTTACGTGTAATATAGGTTGAAACAAATCTGGTGGGTTCAGCGTATAATAACTTTAAAGTTAGGGGGGTCGAATAATGATTTACGTGTTTCTTACTAATAGATGGACAAGTCAGAATGTTACCAGCTGGTAATGAAATAAAACAAAAATGGAAAGCAAACGTAACAGGAACAATCAGTTACAAATAAACACCGAAGCGAATCTGATTGGCAGTTCAGCTTGTTATTATGGAAATGAAATGTTTTGTGAGCATATTAATATAAGTTACCATCTGAGGTTTCCCTGGTATGATCAAAGACAGGTCCAGTTTGATGTGTTTTTGTTGATCCTGCTTGTTTGGACCACTCTTCATAGTCTTGATCGGGGTCCGATGTATCAGTATTCCAATTGCAAGTTCCAGGTTCGTCAAAATTACAAAAGTTCACTACATTATCTGTAAGTAAAAAAGAGTTGATAAACTGTTGAGATTTTATGAAAAAGCAATAATTTAGGTGATAGTAAAGGAACGATTATATGAGTTTTAGATACAAGTGGTAAAGTTTTTTTTTCAGTCTTAAGTTATACTGTCGAATGTAATGTTTGTACTGTTTGTCGTGTCGCCTTTTTCAGTTGTTGATGGTGTTTTCTTTGTTTTTGACTTACAATTAATTAAATCCTTAGTAACTTTTATTTCTAAATATTTGTATCTTCTTTTCATAAATATATATTGCAAATTCTAGCGTTGGAAATATTAATGATGACAATAAATACTTACTTGTAAGTAAACACAGTGGCTCGTCACCAGACCAAATAACATCATTTCTACAAAATCTTTCTGATGGACCAAATAATACATATCCAGCAGAACAGTTATATTGTATTTTGGAACTTATTTTTCTATCTGAGAATGTTACATTGCCATTCCTTGGTGCTATTGGCTTGGAACACATTTCTTCAATTTTCTCTACAATATTGAACTTGATGTTAAATTTCTTAGAATCGTTTAAATTTTGTTTCGAAATATTTTGTTCCCCGATCATTCAATACATATAAAATTTAATATCAACATATTATATCATATGATGCAATTAAGGTTTATGAAACTAGATATGTGTACAAAAGATATACTGTAACACTTTGAAGAGTTATCGGCCTTTATTATATATTAAAAGAAGATGTGGTATGATTGCCAATGAGACAACTCTCCACAAGAGACCAAATGACACAGAAATTAACAACTATAGGTCACCGTACGGCCTTCAACAATGAGCAAAGCCCATACCGCACAGTCAGCTATAAAAGGCCCCGAAATGACAATGTAAAAAATATGAATGTCAAGAAATGAAATAAATAAGTTAACAGCATCTCTTTATACTTAATTGAATCACATATGAATGTAACATTTGCATTACTACTTCTCACAACCAGATCCTTTAAGATTTGGTTTTTATTGACAATCTCCTTGGTGGATGTAAAAAACTCTTCATAGATACCAGAATTACAATTTTGTACGCCAGACGCTCGTTTCGTCTACAAAAGACGCTCTAATCAAAACTGTTTAAAGGCCAAATAAAGTACAAAGTTGAAGAACATTCAGGACCAAAAATTCCGAAATATTTTGCCAAATACATGCAGCTGAGATAATCTTTTCCCGTGGTAAAAAGTCATTACTTTTTCGAACAATTCAAAGTGTTGAAAACAGTTAATTTATAATTATGACAATATAGATGATAATTCATGTCAACACAGAAGTGCTGATTATTGGGCAGGTGTAAATGATTGACTCTATGCTGTCACTATTATTGGGGAGCGTTTATTGATTAAGAATGTACATGATGCAACCATAGGTGCTTGAGGACAGGATCCTGTGTTGAGCCCCATATTTCCTCCCCTTCATTATCATAAACCCCGATTTTACAATATATATCAGCTATCTGTACCCTATGACTATAACTAGTCGAGTGGCACGTTGAAAGTGTTCATGTATATTCGGAGTAAAAATATGGCATATGGGTATTCATATGGTACAAACAGCTGATATATACTGTAAAATCGGGGTTTATGATAATGAAGGGAAGGGACTATTGGGGGCTCAACACAGCATTCTGTCCTCAAGCACCTATGGGTGTAACATCATCTTTATCTCTAGATCACTTTGTATCATAGATAGGTAAAACATACCACAGTTATACAATTTTTGTATTCTGTTGATATCTTTCTCTGTTAAGTAGTCTCGCTGACCGATCTCGCATTCTACGTGTTGTCGTGGTTCAAATGTGCGCTTCAATGGATCAGTTGAGAACGTTGTTGGAGAGTAATGCATTATTGAACAATAATCATATGTCTCCAGTAGTAATACTGACTTTGCAGGCATTTTGTTGAAATTATATGAAAACTCTGAATAAGAAAAAATACTTCTTATGATATATTATTCCGGAAGAAAGTAGTTTTGAAAAATGCATTTACAAAATATATTTCAGTACCTTATATCACAAAATCTAAACCATTTAAAATTATTTACGGATTTTGACGTTTATTCAGACGATTAAGATACATGTCAATATTTGTATAAACATGATAACTAATGCAATACGTTTCCTAGTTTAAATCATCTGATGTACATATGCATCCTTATAAAGATACCAGTTTTGCATACATCTATATATGTAATGTTGTCTTGTGTATGGTCGCTAAAAGAGCATAAATTGCAAAATAAAAAAGATAATTTTGACAATGTTTATAAGGTTGAACAGAGGTTGTAAATGGAATTTCTGACAAAAAATGACATCAATTTGTCAATTTAAAAAATCTAAAACATCTACAGAAAAACATAAAAGTGTCAACAGTAGACATATGTCTATACAATACATCAGTATTAATCAACATCTTATATAGAAATTGTGTGAATAAATTCAATAGAGACGATAAAATTCATAAGAAACAATATCACTAACTAAGTTCCATAAAAGATCTGCCATAAATACCAAACTTAAGACAAACACTTAGTAGGATCAGTACTTGACTTTGAATCTGAGCTTATAATGCAAAATAATGTACAAAATAATCATTGTCTTGATGTCCGATAACCCTAAATATTACCTTTCAAAATATTGTTTTCGTACACTGTTATATAGTCATCCCTATCTGGTCGTGTATGTTCATGCCAGAAACCAAGTGTATGCATTAATTCGTGCATTATGGTACCATTTTTTAAGCATTGATTACCAAGGTGTAATATCTGCGCGCCACCAGTCCTGCCAATAGCACTGTTACATCTACAAGAAGGCAAGAATTATACAATCACTCACTTCACAATAAGAGTGTCTTTACATCAAAGTAAAACCCAACAGCTAAACCGGAATTATTTTTTGGTCCTAGTTTTTGCAAAATATTTTAATCCTGATCAGACTGATTTTAAAAAGCAATTTAACAAAGGAATTATTATTAGTGATACTGAAAGCAATTTCTTTTCAGTGATGAAATGTCTGTCGTATTTGTTTTCGTAAATTGTTTTGTTATAAATTAGGCTGTTAGCTTTTTCAATTGAATTGTTTCATATTTGTCATGTCGGGGCCTTTTATAGCCGACTACTAGTATACGGTATGGGTTTTTCTCATTGTTGAAGGCCGTAGGGTTGCCTATAATTGCTTACATCCACTTCATTTGAACTTTGGTGGATAGTTGTCTCATTGGTCAAATGCTGATTTCAGTCTAAATCTGCATGTTTAGAAGTCAAGATATAAACAGGAACGAGGGCGAACTCAGTAGGGATTACATTAACTACTAAAAAACGAGTCTAAAGGAGTGAGACATGGTATATAATGTTACATTCTATCCATCTTTATGTGCTTAATTCTTTATGCTCCTCCTACCTGACGCCCATCAGTAAGTATCGCAGCTACACATGTGACTAACACAGTGCTAATGCAAGATTGGCTGCACTAATGATTACTTGAAAAAAAACAGTTGGAGGGGGGGGGGGGGGTGAGAGTGATAACAAATCAAGTCATTGAGGAATCCCCAGAAATAACAAATGTATTCTTTTTAAGAAAAGATTACCTTAGCAATATTTGGAAAAACCTTCTGAAATTTGGTTCCTTAATGCTCTTTAACTGTGTACTTTATTTGACCTTTTCAACTTTTTTGATTCGAGCGCCACTGATGAGTCTTTTGAAGACGAAACGCGCGTCTTGCGTACACAAATTATAACCTGATATCCATGATGAGTTTGATTAGATCAAAAATACAGACAAAGGCAAATATAGTATTATATCATTACATACTCCCCAACATTCTGTATGAACACAAAGTCTTTTTCTGTTGTTCGTGGAATAAATGTGATACATTTTCTTGTTATTTTCATCATGTCTGCAATGACTGCTACGATATAGTTTCGTTCAGTAGAACCTATAAAAGAGCAAAGAATATAGTCTTTTTGTAGCTTTTATTCGTATAATATAAAAAAAACTCACTCAAGAGGTTATAAATTAGGCGCCGGGCTACTTATTTGTCCAAATAATCCGTGCTAAAGTACGTCCATTATTCATTTTTCAAAATTCAATAATTAAATAGTTCATTATTCATTATTCAACGTTTGGTAATATATAATGAATACTTAAATAGTTTATATTTCAGTATTCAAGTTGAAAAGTGAATAATGAACTAGATCTGTTATTATTTGACTGTGACACTATCACGTATTTTTGAATTCGACATTTTTGATGTCAACTGACATATTTTCACATTTATAAAAAAAAGAAGATATAATCTGTTCACCGCCGGTTATTTTTTTCTTTTTTGCATGATTCGTTGAAGTTTTCCCTAATTTCTTAATGAAATGTTGCTTCGATTTTTTTTGATTTTTTTTTATTTTGTTTGCGCATCTGCTTAATTCCTCTTAGTTTGTTCTTTCATTTGAAAACAAACGGTTACGGTAGTGTAATTTCATCTTATTAATGTAACATATTGATAATTAAAATACGTCATTTTAATCGACATAAATATTGAAGGGAAATGGTATTAAAAAAGGGCGACCTACATTGCGCGAATTTGAATATGACAAGCATTACGCTTGCGCGCAGAAATGGTATTACGTTTGCACGAAATTACCTGCAATTTACCTGGGACTTTACCTTGGATTTTATCCAGAGAATAATCTAAATTTTACGGTTTTGTTTCAGGAAAATAAGTTATGTCGTTGGTTGTCTATTATATTTGATTTTCGTTTATTGTTTAAACATAAATTGACAATCATACCACATCTTCTTGTTTCTTATATCAATAAATATATATTAAAGAAGTCTTTATTTGTTTATATAATCCATAAATCAGTCCTTGTCTGGTACTTATACCCGAGCGATTTCAAATCACGTTGGCGGGAAGTTTCCCCAGTTTATAACCTCAAAAATTGTTGAGCGGTAAACCGAATTTTGTCCTTTTCTTTGCGCTTTACAAGAGCTTAGTTTTCACTACCGCGAATTTCAATGTAAATAGTCGCCTGAAGCAGTATAATCTCAATGGAGGTGTAGATGCTGAATGAGTAGAATTAAACTGTTCATTGTAATAGCTGTGAAAATACTCTGGACCATAGTTGGTACGTTTTGTGGCTAAAACAATTTTCAAAATGATTAAAAGTAAATTTGTTTAATTTCGGAAATCATAATTTGTTTATATCAAGTCAAGGATTTCTTTTTATTATTTTTTTTATTCAATCCGGGCAAACGTGGTGACTTTTCAACAGGTAATTTTCAAGCAAACGTAGTTTTTTTTCGCGCAAACGTAACGCGTAATACATTGGACTAATGAAAATAGAAGAGGTAAATTCTTTGTCACAACAAAGAGCTTTCGTACAAATAGAAAATTAACATTTTTGGAAAGTGTTTTCTCTGCATTTGTTAAGCTTTTAATTTATTCATTCAATTAAATCTTGTGACTAATTAAGTTTTTTTTACTTTGGTAATGATTGCTTACTTAGCAAATAAATATGCTCACTTACTATAGTTATTGGGTGCAAATGTATAAGGAACTACATTATTGGTCCATGTTCGTTGATAATTCACCACAGAGTTACGAACCTACAATTAAGATACAAATCAGACCTTGTTTCAATGAAATGGTTAGACGGCACACATTTCACTAAAAAAGTTCCACAAAAAAATGTAATTAGTATCCGCATATTTAAGCAAACCGCCTCGGTTGTGTCGTGGTATCGGGGTTGTCTCGAAAGCTGAAGGCCATGGGATTGATAACCTAGTATTTAACCCGCCGCAGACTTTAAAATAGACGTTTGCTGTTTCTCAGCTGAGCATTTAGGAGTGTGAGCAAAGACTGATCGACTCGAGGCCGAAATATGTGATTATCTAGATTGACATGTTTCCTGTGGATAATGCAGGGTATACTAATATGAACGTCCTGAATAACAGGGTGTAATGTTTGCCGCTGCACATCAAGTATAACATGTAATAGAACAATAGAACGGCTTTAATTGGTCTCTCATTTGAATAGGTTCGTACAGAATCGAGTGCAATAAGGCATGCAAATTATTGTCTGGAATTTTGAAATTATATAATAAAAAAAACCTGTAAAACAGAGTGATATTTCGGAATAAGAGTATGGATGTCAAAGTATATATTATTTCAAACAACTGAAATGACTTCGGCACTTTTTACTGCAATACTAATATATAATAGACCCACACATGACTTCGAAACAGGTAGAATGCGCGGATTTACGCTAATATCAATTTTCTCTGTATTTCATGTAAAAATCGTATAGTGAACATCTTCATTATGATCAAAAATGAACCTTTGAACTAATCCATGCAGGAATAGATCTAGTATAAGTGGTGTTATATGTAATGCAAATGAGTAGTAGTATTGGTGATGGAGATGGTCATTGGCGGATCCAGGGGTGTTCGGGGGTTAGAACCCCCTTTTTTCTTTCTTTTTTTCAATTATGTGAAAATTTCATGGTGTTCACGGGTTTGAACCCCCCCTTTTTTTTAGGAATATCTTATGGTTATTATAGAAAAAAAACAAGCATATAACCATCGTCACTGTAGGCAATATTCATGCGCACTCATTTTGTTTCTGAACAAGTACTTACGTCACGTTGACCTTCTAGAATGTCACCTTGTATTAAACCTGGAATATCTTTTCCTGAAATTATTTGATAATGTTTTTTTTTAATATTTCCATATATGATTATTAAGTTTTCAATGATGAATTATAGTTATTCTAAAGAAAGCTTGCAAGTAAAAAATCCAACGGTAAGTCGCAATCATGAATTTCATACATGAAAAATGCAACAACCTTGGTCTTCCTGTACACATACAACTTTCGAAAAGATGACTTTAAATTTATCCTTATGAATACTTGGTTCAATAGCTTCCTTTTCAGCAGCAACTCTCTATCACACAGGCACATGTCTCCATTTTTTACCTACATACCTTATAATGTAATGTTCTGTGTTCTATTATCGGAAATTCACGAAGGAAATGCAATATCGTATCAACAGGCAATATATATATATATACTTCGTATGATATTGCTACATTAAAATGGAGTTAAAAAATTTAAGAATTTAATTCAAGATAAGTTCTTAATTGAAATGTCCTCCCTTTAAAGTTCTATATGTGAGTCAAGATGTGAAGCAGATCGAATTATATATGTGATTTTCTTTATTGAAAGTTTAATTGGATAGGAGGGTCAACATAGTCACCTTACTTTATTCAGTGAGAGGACATTATAGCTAGAGTTGAAATAAAAAAATAAAACATAGTGGAAGTGTCAACGTTAGCTTCTTTTAATTCCTCTTGGGAAGCCCTGTGTAAAGTCTATCTTATACGAATAAACGGAACAAGTCGGTGACAAGAGGAGCACATTTGCTTCCCATGGAAAGGCATATGTCTTGAAAAGCATGTCAGGACCTATAAACCTATGTGTTTACTAAAATATATTGATCCAAATAACATAATGTCGATTGTTTTTCCATGAATTAAGTGGCAGTATAGAAAACTTTCGCTCAGTCTGACTTATTCCAATGACATGTATACCAATAACATAGATGTGTAAAAATAAAATACAGATTCTATCTTTTAAGCAATTTAGTTATTCATGCACTTATGCTATAAAAATAGTTTCTGGCAATGATCGGGATAATGGGTATAAACATTGAATACTTTATAACGTCGCAGTTTTTATTGCGTATTGTTAAATCTTAACACTGTTCTACCTCTCATTGAAAATATAGTTCATTTTAAAAAAAGAGTTGCAGTGTTCAATATTGCACAGAATTTGATACATTTGGGTAAGACCATGAATAAATGATAAATCAATGAATATCTTACCAAAATTCTGTTCTGGTAGTGTAGGGTCATTTTTCATTGCCTTGAGGTAGGCAGAGATCTGTAAACAAATTTTGCTCTAATGAATGTGTGTTGCAAAATGTTCTGCTTGGGAGACAGATTAATATAAGGACTTGTTGCTTGTTGTGAATGTGAATTTATATTGTGATTTGTATAATTTATGATAAAATATTGTTTACTCTAAAATGTTCTGTTGTAAACAAAAAACAATTGATTTAGTCAAAAACATTTCAGTTATTTAGTACTATAATTACACCGTATTGTTAACGAAGGGTCGATAAATTCCATGACACCCACGTTTTAATTCCAATCTGTAATATATATACTTTCGTAAATGATCCGAAATATTATGGTAAAAAAAATGGAATTCAGCTAAATATGGAAATTCAATGAAAAATAGATCATCAAAAGTTAGCTTGCAAATGCTAAAAATACTCTAAGAAGTTATATAACGATATAATAATTAAAACAAAAATAACGTAAAAATTAAAAATATTAAATCAATAAACGGCAGTTCAATATACATATATACCTCAGATTCTGTCGGGCGACATTGAACATTTACCAAGCACATACATAAAACTCCCAAGATTTGATTAGCCATGATCGACATACTGGTAGTAAGAGGTTCTGTCTATATAAATACGGAAGAGTACTAAGTTTGTTTTAATGTGAATTAAACTAGGCCAATAGTTATGATAAGCGGACACCCCCCTCTAAGATCTTCGATACCCGTTTAAGAGCCTACATTTACGAAATTCCATGTCAAATGTTTTATTTATACAAACTTTGGTAATCCTATTTATGATTTGATCACGTCGTTTGCACGTTTTTCAACGTAGAAACTTAAATATGTTACGGGTTTTCCTGAATTATAATCTGTCAAATCTGTAATCAAAACTTGTCAACAATCCCAGGCAGACTTTTTAAAAATTGTTACTTTGAATCTGTTGAAATCATATCCTTGTTTTTTGTTGACATAAACCGTTTTAAAAGAAGCATTGCAAACTTAAATCCTATATAGCAAACAAATATATCTTACTGCAATAACTCATGTTAAAAAGAAGGGGTGTGGATTTTAGTCATCAATAGTTTCAACTTTTATTGTTTTATTGCTTTGTATATACCTCACACGGCTTAACTGACAGGGAAGCCCGGTCAAGCACGCCCAATTGCTCCGTAAGGGATATATACTCTTTCGGTTGTAAAGTTATAATATAAACGCCTGATTTATTATAGCGGATCTTCTGTGTTTAGATCTTGCGAGTATGAGACAGCAACCGAACAGCAAAAAGCCATCTAGAGGTCAACATAGGTCTAAATAAAAAAACATAGTTGCGTTTTTAATCATTTTTCAAAGGACTGGTGTGAATTGGTTTAACTATCAATTTTGACAAAGATCTTCTATCAAAATCAAATTCTTTAAAAAATGCGAAATTTAATTGCTAAAAATTGACATTTCAGGGGGAATTACTCCAAAAATCGGTTAAATATTTTTTCGGAAAATTGCAAGGTAAAGGTAGATCGGCCTTTCTATGCTGATATTCGTTGCGAAATCAATTTTGCTATCACTTTTTGAGATATACATGTAGGCCAAAAACTGCAGTCTTACCCCATAGACTGTTTTTAACAGTAGCTGCAATGTTTATGGATGGATCAAGTCCACGTTTGTTTTATTATTTTTAAACAAAAGAGAGGCGAAGGATACCAAAGGGACATTCAAAGATTCCCAAAGAATCATTCAAATAAAAGTGGTTACATTTAGCTAAGTAATGTCAGAGGAGATGTGTGATTTTGTTTACAACTAAAGTGAGTTAAGCATTATACCTGTTCATATTTTGCAATGTATCAACTGCAGCAGATAAAAAATGTCGTTTGAATCTATTTGAATATGTTTCAACCAACCCTTTTCCCTCAATCAATCTTACGATCGTTCCTTTATTTATCAATGCAGGCGCGGATCCAGGATTTGCTGTTGCCGTGCGCTCTTGATATTTAGGAGTTAGAGGATCATATTTTGACAAAATATTTGCAGTAATTTTACATATAAATTACATTTTTCCACTTTAGGCCCAGGTCTGAATCCGCAGCTGAATGCATTGCAGACGACATGAATTGCTTAAGCGCGGAATCAAGACAACAAAAGCCGTTTGGCTGAATGTGAAGAAAAAAAGATCTAAAGTACATCACGAAATAAACCTTTGTGCCAGAGATACTAAGGATACTAATGCTGCACCTTATTTATTGCCAAAAGTTTTGTATAGAGTAAGATATTTCTAAACCGGACCAGGTCCCCCCTAAATGATGACATTACGATCCAATGTAGTTCCCATATAAAGTCATTCTTTTTCTTTGTAAACGTACTATCGTAATAGATAGATTAGCCTTTCACATTTGAAACGCATTGGTTGCCTTGTGGTAGCATACATGGTAGAGAGTGGGAAGTCGTTGGTTCGAACCCCGGTCGGGTCAATGAAAATCTGTATTTCTGTTTATGCACCAAGCACGCGGCATTTAAGAGTAAGGGCAAAGACTGGTCAGAATAATGTGTTCGGGTAGGGAGGTAAGGCTTCCTGTCGACCGTTACCTTGTGAACTAGCAGGTAAAAAAGGCTCAGTCTACCACAAAGCGAGGTTTACATTCAAATCACAATTGTCATGTTCTCGTTCTGAATATACATTTAGTTGCCACTGGACGCTAAACAGTCATAACAGATGACCATCATCATCTTTCACATTTATAACTTTAAGTCATAGACAAATTGATTGTTTTATCATGCACCTACCAATTAATTAAAGTAATAGAAAAATCAAATTTTACATTCACAGCAAAATACCTTACGTTATCAAACCAATAATTAGTTAGATACTTTCATTTTCACATCATTAAAAACAACTGATATATTGAAACTGTCTAGAAGATTTGAGCCTCCGATATAATAAAGATTAATATGATTTTGAAATTTATGTATATATGTATCGAACATATAAACGACAGTTCATCATAAGCCTCCAAAGGTTGGTTGTTATTAATATACATGTTTATTGACAAATATTCGTATGTTTAAAATCTTAATATATTGGAAATCTGTGCATGGAACTCCCCTTTATCCTGAGTTGGGACCCCCCCTTTTTTCCTGAGTTGGGACCCCCCTTTTAAAAATGGCTGGGTCCGCCCCTGTTGTTTATCTATCTTTCTATCTAAGCAAATTTTCTTTTTACAAAATTGAAAATCGTCACCAAAAGACTTAGATCTGTAATATACAACAACCAAATGTATGTAAGGTGTCTTTCCTATCAATTACACACATTTTTTTCTGCACCAATGATCTTGAATATTTACCATTTTTTACTTAAAAATTAAGAACACATGTACAGAACCAGGACACAGGAGCACAGAACCAACAACATTTTTTGTAATCAAAAGCACATAATCAGGACATTTTTTTAGCGAATTTGCAATAGTAAAAATCGTTGTAATATACCTCGCGAGGTACGTACATACACTCAGGGAGATTTAGAGTTTGACATATTTTCAGACATATTACATATGATGATGTTTCATGTAGGGATTTTACTAAAAATGACGTCCACGTTATGGTTTAGTCCAACTAATTATGATGTAGGAAGGCGTCACACGGCTAAATATCAAAATAGTCTTTCAAGACGTTATAATTATATTTGGACTAGTTATGGCTTATCGACTGGAATATTAAAAAAGTCATATGTAATGAGTTTCTTGTAATTATAATGTTATGGAGATTATTGAACCAATGCGTGGATATATACTTAACTTAGTCACCTAAGTATATTTTTTTAAATTGATCACGAACCTATAATGTATAAACGAAAACATATTTCATCCAGTGAGTGCTGATCTTAAACTTTCGTTTCTATTTAATCTTCGGGTTTGTTACCGAAGTGTACCGGATCGTGCCATTTGCCTGATAAACAATCAACACGGAATCATGGAGCACGTGAAAATAAATGAGTTGATAGAGCGATGTTAATTTTGTTTCATATTTGCAATTCGTTTCCATTTGTTGATTTAATAAAATTGAGAATGGAAATGGGGAATGTGTCAAAGAGACAACAACCCGACCATAGAACAGACAACAGCAGAAGAACTCTACCATAACAGTTGTTCGGTAATTTGGTGTATTAAATTGTTCTTTCAGAATCAATGAATCGACTATCTACCTTCTATATAGTTCTCGTTTGTTTACATTCTTTAAATCACATTTTTCCTTCGCACTTGCGCTGTGCAGTTGTCGAAGTTCTAAAGAGATGTCTCGTGTTTAAGGTCACTGCATGCGGATAATATCAGCGGAAAAGGTATCGGCGAATTATACTGAGTACGAGAGAAGACAATAATTCAATAGCAATACATTTGAAAGATTTTGATAAGGATTTTCTTTTATAAAAAAATTTATGAACGCTTGTTTTATAGTAAAACTTAGCCATTTAAGTATATAAAACATATTCAATTTTTTTTAATTTCAAGTTTTATGTGATTTTAATAATCAACATAAAATCTTTGATAATATTAAGAATTTATAACAAGGAAAAAAAATAAAAATAAAAATATTGAGCATCCATTTATGGCAATGAAATCATATCTAAACATGTAGTTGAAATTATTTCTAAAATCAGTCAGTCTAATGCTACATGTATGTATAAGAATAAAATCTCAGATTTTTTAACTGTATGCTATAAAAAATATAAAAGTTAAAAATCTCATTATACAATATAACAAAGTCAATCACATAGCTTCAAATTTTTTAATTAAACTTGCTTTTGAAATAATAGTCAGCTATTTGAATTGCATATGTGTAAACAAAATAGTTTTTAACTTGGCTTCCGCTTACCTAATGCCAGCAAATAAACTTATTTTCTATTTTCCAGCGCTGGCAACAAATTCACTATATTGCTGGAGCCGGCAAAATAGCCACTGCCTTTTGGTTTCTTCAGAATTTTAAGATCAAACCATCACCATCTCAGTGCAAACACAAGCTGCACACTTTTTATGGTCAGATCTTATGTTTTCGTACGTCGTATGAATTCGTACTATGAGTGCTTTATCAGTGGGTTTGTGACGTCAATATGCGTTCTTAATAGCACGAAAACCCATATTATTTACGAGGATAATTGCGAAAAACTTACTATAGGCTTTAGCTTCTTAAAAAAATTACAATCAGTATATTTATATATATATATTTATCATATACTTGTATCAAATAATACTTAAATTTTACAGTTCAATAACATTTAAAAATATTAAAAGGCTATGAAAGGATTACTAGGTTTATTGATCAGATTCCTAAGAATTTCCTCAGCGGGCTGATAAAGGAACCTTTATTGACTGCTTCCGGAATGTTATCACATGCCTTTCCGTTAATTTCCGTGACGTTTATCACATGCAACGTCGTGCATTTTCGGAAATTTGTTCGAAAACGACAACACAGTGCGGAAAACCGCAAGTGATTTAAGACTTATCACAAAATCGTTGAGGAGCAAATTTCAAACTAAGAACATGATAATTGATGTGACAAGATAAATTAAATGCTTGTAATATCAATAAAAACAATTAAAATTAAGAAATTTGTAGTTGGTTGTCTGTAAATTATTATATAAAAATTCATGGAAAGACAAACAATTTAATTAATAGTTCTTGTCTGTATTTCTTCTGTTGAAGTATATGATAAAAAGATAATTACATGTCATTTATCATATCAGACCCTTTATAGGCCCTCGTTCATGATATCAGCCCTCGAGCCTGCGGCTCTTGGGCTGATATCATGACCTAGGGCCGATAAAGGGTCTGATATGAAAAATGCCATGTAATAATCTATACATATTATACTTATTGACTGGGTATGAGTGGAATAGAAAGTTAATTTTCCCCCGAGGTGCAACTATTGCCCTGAGGCGTAGCCGAGGGCAATAGTTGTATCCGAGGGGACAATAAACTTACTATACCACGAATACTCAGTCAGTAAGTGTTTTATTATACCGAAAGAGACAAAAGACAATAAATGTCGGGGTTAAATCAACTATCGTAATATAAAAAGCAGAAACACAGCCATACTGTTTAACGTTTACTTCATATATATTCGGAATGCTAATGCTACGTCCTGCACTGGCATCAACCCTAGATACAATAGGTAAAACGCGACGTCGCAACTTGCGCGGTATTCTCAACATCCTCCAATCCCGTGGCTGCATTTGAAATTCCGCGAAATATAATTACGCTTGCTGTCAAATAGTTTCATCGAGGACTGGTCCAATAGTTGGAAACTATTGACCGGTCATATAATTCAACGCTTGCAATCTGAAAAAGAGTAAAAATATTGTGTACTTATCAGTTTTCTATAGAAAATGAAAACTGAGGTATTATAAATATTAATAATAATACATTGTTTGTAATTATACTGCCCTCCTAGGGCGTCTTTGATTGACAAAAAAATATTGTATTGTATTGTATTGTATATAAAATAGGGCGAATGAATATAGTGCGAACGAACGCTACGGGCGAAAGGACCCGTTGCCAATCTTCGGAAACCCTCGGCCACATATGTAAACAAACAGACAAGTCAAGCCGGTGAACATTTACGCATCGAAAAATGTTTCCTTGTTACGCACAGATCTTGTTTTCTTTAATTTGCGTGACAGTCCTATCGTCTTGTTCCGGTGCTTCAAAATGTGGTTATCTGGTAAGTATTTGAATTCAAAAATTTCTTACATATTTGTAGAATCACACAAAACTTCAAAAGAAAATCCAATCAAATGGGGGCCATACTCTGGAGGATGAAACATTGACTAAATACATGAGATTCGCGAACGATCTAGTTTGGGGAGAACACACAAACAACATCACAGGTTAAGCCAGCCGAAGCCTTGGTTTCGGCTATATCGTCAAATTTCCCCGTCCGAACCTGAAACGGGGATATCCTACCGTAGTCTATAATCGGTCATCATGTTGGTTCGTTCGGACTTTGTTATTGTACTTATCACACGGGAAAACTCCGCATTGACGTCACTTCGCTAATACCAGCGTACAAAATTAGTGCAGAATACATTTTTTCTACTCTTCTAAATAAACAAACATTTCGAAAGATATGTTTTCAATGTTATTCTAAAGTATTGTACAAAAATGCCAATTTTCTAATGGCCGTTTCAAACCTGACTTCTGAATGCCTAAAAACATTCCAGAACTTCAGAAATCCCCTTTTCCGGCCTCCATTGGTTTGTTTACATTCCATTAAGCGTCATCAATCTTAATGGCAAACCAAACAGGCCAAGCAAATCGTATTTTTAAGAATTTCAAAATGGCAAGCACCTTACGTCTTACTCGATTTTCCCGCGAAAAAAACCCATCTAAATTGAAAGAAAAACTTTGGGAAACAAACGATAATCATGCCATATTTTTGTTCAGGAATATAGAGTAGGTTAATAAAAAACAATATACATATATTTTTCATAAAAAAAATATTTGTTCAATAAAAAGAGATCGATATTCTGACCATAAGTAAATATTCATATAAAATTCCATTGATATCAAATTTCATGGCTAATAATGAGGTTTCCGATTGAATAAACCCCCAATTTATTGCAAACTATTTCAAAGCAATATCATACAAACAAATAATATAATTGCCTTGTACTAAAAAATCACCTAATTGACAGTAGAGCAATTTGATTGGATATAACGATTCAATGTGTCACGTGGTTTTGAAGCCATTAGAATTTTAATGTAAACAAACGGCGTCAGCTGCTGCAGTATGGAACATCATACATTCAGTGACTGAGAAACAATTATTAGTAACCAAGCTTGACAATACACAGTAATAAAAAAACAAAGCTAAGTCTACAGAAAAATAAAATAAAAAATGGCCTTAAGTGCACGACTTACCACCATTGCGGGATACATGTAGCCTGGGATCCTGGCTCACTGCTCGAGAGTAGACGAAGTATTAGATTAGGTCAGGATGCCAGTTGTATTTAGAATTCTTCATTTTTTTGGAATAAAAGATAGAATTGTTTATTTATTTTTATTTGTTTCCCCACAAAAGATACCTAGCCCCTTTTTTCTGAAATATACCCCAAAGATAACCCTTTCAGAGAGTGTGAGAAGGTTGCTAATTTGTTATTGTTGATGTATTTTACTGAAATGTTTTATTATACAGCATTTCTCTAAAAAACAGTCTTGTGTACTGATCCTTAAATTTCCCCGTGTGTTTCTCCAAAACACTGTCTTATATACTGATCCTCAAATTTCCCCGTCTGTTTCTCAAAAACACTGTCTTATATATACTAATCCTCAAATTTCACCGTCTGTTTCATTAAAACACTGTCTTATATACTGATCCTCAAATTTACCCGTCTGTTTCTCTACAACACTGTCTTATATACTGATCCTCAAATTTCCCCGTCGGTTTCTCTAAAACACTGTCTTATATACTGATCCTCAAATTTCCACGTCTTTTCACTAAGACACTGTCTTATATACTGATTCTCAAATTTCGCAGACTGTTTCTCAAAAACAATATCTTATATACTGATCCTCAAATTTCCATGTCTGTTTCTCTGAAACACCATGTCTTATATTTATAAAGTTTGAAGTGCATTACAGAATAAATCTATTCAGTTGACATTTATTTCATTATTTCTCAAATTCTTAAACGCCATAGAACAAAACACTTGTCTTATATACTGATATATAATATACTTATATATAATATTATACATTGAGTTAATTATACAAAGTTTTAAGTGCATTTCGGAATAAATCTATTCAGTTGATATTTATTTGGTTATTTCTCAAATTAATGATAACAGAATAAATCTAAAACACTGTCTCATATACTGATCCTCAAATTTCCCCTTGATCTGTAAAACACTGTCTTACATATATTATATAAAACCAACAAGAAGATCCAGTCAGACAGGACATCATACTTACTTATTACAGCCAAGGAATGGAACAAATTGCCTTCAGAGAAGAAGAAGAATCTTATATTTTAAAGTTTAATTTAATGTACATTAGTAGCATTATATTTTTTATATGTTACACTATATGCCCCCTGTGAACCTACTTTTGAAAAATAAATATCATTATTTTATCTTATCTGAAGCTAGGCTTTAACTCATCACTGATAACCTGGGACATGATATATAAAAACAGTGTAGTATCTTCTTCCTATGTCCACACAGCCTCCTGTAAACAATTTGCAAAGATGTTTACATGTAAAATAATATCGAAGTCTCTTGCATAACACTTCATTTCAGTGCAATGGGCTGAATTCGATGACATGTACGTTTTGTTATACATTGTACAAACTTGAACAAAAAATGAGAATGCATCTATAAAATATTGATTATGATTCACCACTCCAATCAGCATTTAAAGTTACCTTGACCAACATGACTAACAATTATCTAATAAATCAGACCATATATCAAATAAGAAACACGACAAACTGAGCCTACATAAACTTGGACCATGATAACAAATCATGTTAACTGACTTTGAGGTTTCATGGTAGTGTTATTGCTGTGAGTGTAGGGTGTCTTGGGTTTGAATTGTTTGACACCAAACAGGGTCAAATGAATAACTTGAAAAAATTTTATTCACATCTTCATGCAGCACTAAGCACCCATTATTTAGGAGTAAGCACAAAGATTGGTTACGAATGTTAACAAGGCCCGGGATAAGATACAGGTATTCCATGTTTTAATCTAACAAATGATTTCAATAATATATGAATAATGTAAGAAAAAAAGGAAAAATATTGATCAGCTCAGAGTCAGAATAAAATAGTGTGTCCAGGTAGGGTGACATGTCATCCTGCAGACTGTTACCACATTTATGTGAACTAGCATGTTCAAAATACAACTCAGTGTGTTGATCTAGTTTCACTATAGGTGTAACTATGATTTTTTAATCAATTTCTGTTTGTAGAGCTGTCCTAAAGGAAAAGATGGGATGCTCAATGTTCATTTAGTACCTCACACACATGATGATGTTGGATGGCTAAAGACTGTTGACCAATATTTTTATGGAGGTTGGTGGTATACTTTTGTACATATACAATTTTTATACGACCGCAAAAAAATTTTTGCGGTCGTATATTGGTATGACGTTGGCGTCGTCGGCGTCGTCGTCCGAAGACACATTAGTTTTCGCACTCTAACTTTAGTTTAAGTGAATGGATCTCTATGAAATTTTACCAAAAGGTTCAATACCACAAAAGGAAAATGGGGATTGATTTTAGGGGTTATGGTACCAACAGTTAAGGAATTAGGGGCCAAAAAGGGGCCAAAAATAAGCATTTTTGTAACTTCCAGACATAACTTGTGTGTTAGTGTATGGATCTCTCTGACATTGTACCACAAGGTTCCATATCACAAAGGGAATGCTGGGATCGATTTTGGGGGTAATTGCCTCCAAATTTTAGGAATTAGGGGCCAAAAAGGGGCAAAAAACAAGCATTTTTCTAGTTTCATGACAATAACTTGTGTGTAAGTGTATGGATCTCTCTGACATTGTATCACAAGGTTCCATATCACAAAGGGAAAGTTGGGATTGATTTTGGGGGTAATTGCCTCCAAATGTTTGGTATTAGGGGCCAAAAAGGGGCAAAAAACAAGCAGTTTTCTAGTTTCATGACAATAACTTGTGTATAAGTGTATGGATCTTTATGAAATTGTACAACAAGGTTCCATATCACAAAGGGAAAGCTGGAATTGAGTTTGGGGGTAATTGCCCAAAAAGTTTAGGAATAAGGGGCCAAAAAGTGCCAAAAATAAGCATTTTTCTAGTTCACAGACAATAACTTGTGTTCAAGTGTAAGGGTCTCCCTGAAATTGTACTGCAAGGTACCATACCACAAAGGGAAGGCTGGGATTGATTTTGGGGGTAATTGCCTCAAAATTTTAGGAATTAGGGGCCATAAAAGGGCATAAAAACAAGCATTTTTCTAGTTTCAGGACAATAACTTGTGTGTAAGTGTATGGATCTTTATGAAATTGTACTGCAAGGTTCCATATCACAAAGGGAAAGCTGGGTTTGAGTTTGGGGGTAATTGCCCTAAACGTTTAGGAATTTGGGGCCAAAAAGGGGCCAAAAAACAAGCATTTTTCTAGTTTCCAGACAATAACTTGTGTTCAAGTGTATGGATCTCTCTGAAATTGTACTGCAAGGTACCATACCACAAAGGGAAGGCAGGGATTGAGTTTGGGGGTGATGAATCATAAGGGGGTTCAAAAAATTTGGGGGGGGGGATTTTTTTTTCCTTTTTTTTCTTTAAAATTTTCCATTTTAAATTGGTTATTTCTGATTTATATATAAAAGCAAATAATAATGATATGGTTTGAATAGGTAAATTAAAAATTTGTAAGTTCTTAGACCACTTTCATTCTGTGTCAGAAACCTATGCTGTGTCAAATATTTAATTACAATCCATATTCAGTGCTGTATCAAGCTTGAATGTTGTGTCCATACTTGCCCCAACTGTTCAGGGTTCGACCTCTGCGGTCGTATCAATCTGCGCCCCAGTGGAGCATTTTATTTTATCAGGAAATACAATTACATTTAAACGTACACTTCTGGGTCATAAAAATGAATAAATTAAAAATATTCTATAAGATCTACACATCATATTCATTATATGACATATACAACCATATCTGCTTTAATTACGGGACTTATAAGTGTTGAACCATTTCTACAACAATTAACAACAACATTTGTGGTACTATGACCCACAAAAATGTGTTAAGGGTTTCCTCCTTTGCAAATAGGGTAGGTAAAACTTTTTTTTGTATTTTTTTTTCAATTTTTATATGACCGCAAAAAAAATTTGCGGTCGTATATTTGTATGACTTTGTCGTCATCGTCGTCGTCCGAAGACACATTGGTTTTTGCACAATAACTTCAGTTTAAGTGAATGGATCTCTATGAAATTTTACCATAAGGTTTAATACCACAAAAGGAAGGTTGGGATTGATTTTGGGGGTTATGGTACCAACAGTGAAGGAATTAGGGGCCAAAAAAGGGGCCAAAAATAAGCATTTTTGTAACTTTCAGACAATAACTTGTGTTTAAGTGTATGGATCTCTCTGAAATTATAAGTTTCCATACCACAAAGGGATGGTTAGGATTTGCTTTGGGGGGTTATGGCTCATATCGTTTAGGAATTAGGGGCAAAAAAGGGGGAAAACAAGGGTTTCCTGGTTAATGGACAATTTAAAAGCAGTGTAAGGGAGATAATCCAAAAACAAAATTGTACAATGTTGTACAATGTTGGATTACCTCACTTACACTGCTTTTAAATTATCTATGTAAGACTTTTATGATGTATTTAAATGGGTAATTATGGTTGCAAACTCCATTGGTAATTTGAATTGAGACTATGACCATATCTTGAGGGAAAGATTTTTTTTTTGAAAAAGATGGGGGTGGGGGGTTAAAAAAGAAATTGGGGGGGGGGGGGGCAATTTTTTCTCACTTCAGATTTCAGAAATTAAACAAAATTTCTTCACATATTTTTTTTTTTTCAAAAAAAGGTTGGGGGGGGGGATTTTTTTTTGTGGGGGGGTCAATACGCAACAGCAAAGTGTATTGCACAAAAGCAAAAAATTGAATAATAAATTCAAATCATATAACCAATTATAAGTTCTTTGACTACAGTTATTCTGTGTCAGAAACCTATTATGTGTCAAATATTTAATTACAATCCAAATTCAGACCTTTATCAAGTGCGAATATTGTGTCCATTTTTGTCCCAACTGTTCAGGGTTGGACCTCTGCCGTCGTATCCAGCTGCCCCCAGCAAAGCAATTTATTCTTTCATGAGATTATGGGGAGCATCTACAATTCTGTTATGATTCACTTCCAAAAGTGCAATAAAAAAACGGGTTGGCATTTTTAGGCATAAATGTAGGGCAAGAAGGGAAGCCCTAAAAAACAAATATTTTTTTAGGGGCCTTATTTGGGTTTTTGCCTTTTCAACTCTAAATTAAATGATCAGTTTATTCAGGTACAAAAAAAATGTACAAGCAATTGATTAAAAAAAACTATTCTGAAATACTTTACTTAGAAAAGGTGCAAAAACATTTTGTTTAAGTTTTGTAAATTAATGATTAAAATGGTTATACATTTCTTTGCATCATTTTTTTTTCTTTTTTATGAGATCAGTCTTCTATTTGAAAATGTTGTTAGATTGTTAATTTTTCTCCAAAATACTTACATATATATATTTAGCCAACTAAAAAAAGTCAGACTTTTCATTGAACAGAAATTGACTTTGACATTTTGTCTTTTAAGAAATTTTGATAGAATTTGAAATATGCATAAGGTTAAGGAAAAACCACACTAAACATGTTGAAGAATGAAATCACACATATAATCATGAACCATTAAAGTACAAAACATGACACAGGGTTGAAAATAAATTTTATTGCAAGTGTATTTATTATCAGAAATAAAATCTCATAAATTTTACTTTTACAGATAAAAATAACATCCAGAGAGCTGGAGTGCAATACATTCTGGATTCTGTTGTTCAGGAACTATTACAAGATCCATCAAAGAGATTTATTTATGTAGAAGTAGCATTCTTTGCCCGATGGTTGAATGAACAACATGATATTATGAGACATGCAGTTAAAGGACTTGTAAACTCAGGTTTGTTGATTTTCATTAGGTAAACACGAATGAAGATTTGAAGTAATTATATATGTTTAAATTATTTACTTGAAACTATTTTAAAGGTTATTTTTTGTAACCTGGCAATAAATAAAATTATTGCTATTATTTGAACATTTCATTACATTTACAATATCTTCACAGGTAGATTGGAGTTTATATTGGGAGGTTGGTGTATGAATGATGAAGCTTCCACTCACTACAATGCCATTATAGACCAGCATGCTTTGGGATTTGAATTTTTACGTCAGAATTTTGGGGAGTGTGGTAGACCTCGAGTTGCATGGCAAATTGATCCTTTTGGACATTCCAGAGAACAAGCTTCATTATTTGCACAGGTATAAATTAAGTTATACAGCATGACTTCCTTTAACCTAAAGTGGATTCCTTATTATTCATTAGATACCTATTTTCATGGGTTTCATTGGTATAGGTAAACCACAAGTTTAAATGTTCAACAAAGTGCACATTTTCTGTAGGCTTCTATGCAAACTTTGGCAAAACCATAGAATCAAATATGACATGAAATACAATTTTTCTTTTATCTTGAAAATCTGCAATATTTATGAAGAACAAAAAAGTAAGGAAAAAAGATTTTTTTCTCACATTATAGTTCAAACAAATCAGAGGCTATATATTAGTTTATACAAATTCCACTATTGATACATATAGATTCTTACATTGGTACCAGTAGATTATTTGATTTATCCAATCGAGATAGTAAAATTATCGAATTTTAAAGTTCGAGCCTCGGCAATGACTTTAAAATTCGATAATTTAACTATCTAGATTGGATAAATATGAGTAACTATGTAAGAATCTGTTTCTCTAATGATTATCAAACTAATTTTCATTTTTGATAAATGAAAATCCCCATCGAGGGCCTTCCACATGCCTAATTTCTACGTCATACACTTTAAAGTTGACAATTTCTCTAACACCTGTTAGCACATTTCAAATTATCCAGAGAGCTGATAAAGGTTATTACCTTTTAATACATAGGCAATCATCTACTGAGATCATCAGCAATCACATGTTGATTAAATTTTTTTAAACAAAGGATCCAGAAAGAGTTAAATTGCCAAAGAATTAGAGAAATTATTATACATGCTACCATCATGTTAACATCATGATCATAATTGTATCTATGACTTTTTTATCAGGGAACTATGAAATAATGTTAGGATTATAAATGGTTGCAAATGAAGGAACATGTGTTTTCCAACTTTTTATTCGCCCGTTTACGGGACGTATTATGGTATACCGTTGTCCGTCCATCCATAGGCGGATCCAGGGGGGGGGGGGGGGGGGGGGGGGGGGGCCTGAGCAGTTTTTGTGAAACTTTGGTGAATTGTTTATATTTATTGACATAAGACCCCATTCGACTTTTATAAATTTCAGATTTTACGTTTCCAAGGTTATGGGATTTATTCATAAAAAAGGGTTGATTTTCCAGTTTTCAGACAATAACTCATATGCTTTGATCAGGTTTCATGAAACTTTGGTGACTGTTTTATATCTATTAAAATAACCATTCTTTAGTTTTTTATAAATTTCTGATATGACATAGAGGAGTTGTGGAACTTTATTCTTAGAAAAAGCGACAGGCTTATCATGCGCCCTTGGCACAGCTTATGGGCACAGCTCTTTATATACTGCAGGGTATATACGACACTAACGCTAGTCCGCTAGCCCGAGGCTAGTAAAAATTAGGGAGGGCTAGTAAAGTTTTCATTACAGTAGTCCGACGGGCTAGTCAAAATTTTGTTTAAAACAAGGAATTTCACAAAATTTTAATTTTCAACAAATCCCAGATTTTTTGCTGACCTTTGCTGTCTTAATTGTACAGTTTATTCACGTATATGTCAGACATTTTAACATGAAAGGTACTTTGGGGAGGGGAAAGAAACGGAAACAATGATGGTACTTAATACATTGAAAACCACGTGTGTTACAAATGCAGTGATGATTCTGATCAGAAACCTAGATCTCAAAAGTGCTTTCATAATATCAAAATAATAACATGAATATGAAAATTACATACATTACTACCGATACCATCACTGTTTGGGAAACATGTACAACTTATTGGAAGGAATTTTAAGCCATTTTTTTTAGTAATTGGGAATTTTCTTTAGGGGAAAAAGCTGTATTTCAAATGTAATTTGAGGCAAACACTATCACTGAATTATTGTCATATATATACAAAATTATAGGTCTCTGGTAAAAATATAAAGATTTTTAGGAATAAAATCTTGTCCTGAAAAAAAAATAAACTGACAAACAACAAGGGAAAAGAAGGAGTCCATGAAGAATTATGACAAAAACAGCAAGGGCAAACCTTTCCTCTTTTGTGGGTGTATTTTTAAATCCCTTACTTATCCATCTTCATTAAAGACACTAGTAATAATGATAAGTAAAATGAGGACGATGATGAAGTAATGATCTAAAGGGGTCTTCAAAATAAGTCTAACACATTCTTAATATAGATGATTAAAATATGAAAATATTTATTTTTTTTGTATTTTTTATTAGCAAACCAGTGAAATTTCATGAAACAAAACATGTTCAAAACCCTCTGGAAATGCTCCAGAGCACAGGATTTAGCTTCATTTGTATCAAAATTTTCGGGGGGGCATGCCACCAGACCCTCCTAGATAGGGTTGTGCCGGTGGCACGACCGTCCAAGTGAGGTAGGCACTTGGAGGGCTAGTGAATTGATAAAAGGACTAGTAGAATAATAATTTCAATAGCCCTGCAGGCTAGTGCATACATTTAGTTAGTGTCAAACCCTGTATACTGATGTTGAACATTTTTGTCTCTGATTCTAGATGGGCTTTGATGGTTTATTTTTTGGACGTGCTGACTATGAAGATATAGATCAGCGAAAGAAAGCGAAAACCATGGAAATGATGTGGAATGGGAGTCCTAAAAATTTAGGTAGTATTAAAACTTTCTATGATTAGGCAACATAAAATTTATATTCAGATTGTCGTATGTCTTTCTCCTCTGGATTTTTTTTCAATTTCATCTGTTATATTCCATTTACAAATATTTATTTGATATTTCTGCAAAGTGTGTGAGAATTAATGAAAAAAATTAAATAAAGTCTTTCCTTCCTCACCATTTTTTTGTGTCGAGAACATGAAAATCTTATTTGTTGTGACCTTAGGAAGACATTCAAATACCATATTCAGCAATGAAGAACTTTTTTGTTAAAAGCCCCCCCCCCCCATTATGTTTTCCAGTCTGTGTGTATATCCATCCAGTCAATAGTATTTGGTATGCAGTTGTATTAGCATTGGCACATCTCATTTCCATGGAGATTGTTTAGCCATGTACCTTCAGTCATGGCTCATTGACTTTGAATATTTGCATAACTTACATGTTAAAGTATTGCTATTTTAATTTCAACATTTGCGTTATCAAAATTACAAAAAGGCGAGACATATCTCTGTGTTAATAGTTTATAACCCAGATTTCAATGGTTCAATAAATATGGAAATGAAATAGTCTGAAATCAGTACATTGTACATTTTAAGGTCAATGTTTATGGATAAGGTAGTATACCATGAGGTTGTGGTCACATCAACTTGATCTTAGTATCCATGTGCATTGTGGTGTGAACATTTTAAAATTATATGCCGAATTAGGGTTTTGACCCAAGTTTCATAGTTTGGTGAACATAGAAATATTGTGTGAGGCCCTTGCATGGCAAATTGTGAAATGTTCCCAAAAAAGAAAACCAATGGCCTGATTTATGCCTATAAAAAATAATAAGCAAGTAAGAGATATGGCAGACAGCAACCACTAAATTACAGGCACCTGAATTGGGACAGTCATATAAAGAATGTGGTGGGGTTATACATGGTTGTTAGCTAGCGCTCAACCCTCCCCCGTACCTGGGACTGTGGTGTAATAGCATAACATAAGAACAACCTGTAAAAATTAGTTGGAAAGGGCTTGACTTATCAGAATGGCAGAAAGCACAGTAAAAACAGTTGATAAAAAACAAACACAAAGTACCAATCAAAGAGTTCTCACTGTTTAATAATGAAAGCTAGTTCGAATATGAAAATAAGAAGATGTGGTATGATTGCCAATGAGACAACTCTCCACAAGAGACCAAATGACACAGAAATTAAAGCCAATTACAACAATTATGAATTAATCATGTTAACCCAAACAATATTAATAGGTACTTATCCAACATATTTAGTGTTAAGACATATAAACAGTCTTAGAAAACCATGACCATGTGCAATGCAATGGTATTTGGTAGATTTATCTCCGAAAATGTGATGCCTGGAGCATTTAATGTATATGAGGAAGACATTTGTTTTACCTAGCATTATGGCTTTTAAAATAGATCCATTTAAGAATCAAATAATGGCCTTTTTGATATTTCATGTTGAAATTCAAGGCCATATTTTGCCAAAAGTGAACCTTGTCCTTTTAAAAGAGGTCAAGCTACTTTTCTGTCGACAGCATTGAAGGGAGATTTATTTATATTTTTATAGGAAAAAGAACTTAGAAGTAAATAACAAAAAAAAAACAAACAACATTTTATTTATAGACAGATGTACACAATTTGTCAAGCTTATATCACACTACTGAGTTAAAAAAAAAATTTAAAATACATTTATCAGAAATATCATTTTAAATTTTTCACTACTGTAACTAAGAAGTTTATCTTATTTTTATTTTAGGGTCCAAGGCAGATTTATTTTCAGGAGTCCTATTTAATGGATATAGCCCTCCACCAGGTTTTTGTTTTGATATCAACTGTAATGATGATCCAATTATGGTAGGTTAAGCTTTATATTTCACATGTACATGTAGATTTGATATGCCTTTTTTGACGTGTTAAATGACAACATGTAAGCAAACAACATGGTCTCAGTACCTTGATATGGGCATACCTATTTAAAAATAAGGAGATGTGGTATGATTGCAAATGATACAAACATCCACCATAAATCAAATGAAGTGGATATAAGCAATTATAGGTGACAGTACGGTCTTTAGCTATGAGAAAAAGCAATACTGTACAGTCAGCTTTAAACAGCATCAACATGAAAAAGGTGAAAAATTCAAATGCGAAAACTAACGGCCTTATTTATAAAAAAAAAAAAACGGTGGTTGGCACAAGAAAAAATTGTAGGAAATTGGTTGTGTTTATGAAATATAAAATGAGGAACTGTTTGCATCAGTGCTTATACTATAGTTACATTCTGTTTCCATATATTTTTAGGCATTCATTGATATCAGTTAAAGGACCCACTATTATCAATAAAAAATATTCCAAAGTTGTAAACAATTCCCAAATTGTTTTGCTGTAGTCATAATTATGATTCCCAAATGAACAAAATGGCTAAAAAAAAATATTATTTATAATCAGAAAAAACATGTGGACTTGTAAATATGGCTTTTATTTCAGGATGATGACAGATTACATGATTACAATGTTCAACAGAAAACTACACAGTTCATAAGATATGCTCAGTTACAGGTAACAATCTTATAGTCAACAGAAAACTATACAGTTCATAAGATATGCTCAGTTACAGGTAACAATCTAATAGTTATGTAGAAATCAAATGCCTCTTTCTGCAGTTAAATTCACTGGTAAAAATTTGAACTAAAGAAAGTGTTATAGGTCAGTGCTATTACAACTATGAATAGAAAGATCATTAAAAGTAACCAATGATTTTATTACGTCACCAATATTGTTTGAAAACTCATGTTTTCTAATGGATTGATTGTTGCTTGCTTAATGTCCTGTGGCAAATGTTTCAAACATATTCAGTACGAGAAGCAATTAACAAATAATACAATAGGTAAGATCTGCAATGTAGGCCAACCAGGACGAATGGCAGGAAATTTGTACTGCGAATTGAAACTAAGGATATGTTGGATAGGGGCAGAAAATTTGCCTTGCAACAGGCTACCTACTGACCCCTCTTAAAGTTGTTGCAAGGGTTTTTTAACATACATAGAGCGTGGCACCTTTCCTACAGGAGTCATTGGAATTAATGTCTCCATTCTAACTAGACATGGCTGTGTATTTATACATCCTGCATCTTTAACAAGGGTTTTACTGCCAGTCCAATGTTGATCACATTTCTATAGCCCAATCAACCCTGGGTTGTATTTATTTTAGATATTTCTAGACAATTGATACCATATAATGATATATAAAGACATTGACATGGAAGACCATGTGATTTTGAATTCTAATTTTTATACGACCGCAAAAAAATTTTGTGGTCGTATATTGGTATGACGTTGGCGTCGTCGTCGTCGTCCGGCGTCGTCGTCCGAAGACACATTGGTTTTCGCACTCTAACTTTAGTTTAAGTTAATGGATCTTTTTGAAATTTGACCATAAGGTTAAATACCAAAAAAGGAAGGTTGGGATTGATTTTGGGGGTTATGGTACCAACAGTTAAGGAATTAGGGGCCAAAAAGGGGCCAAAAATAAGCATTTTCTAGTTTCAGACAATAACTGTGGAACGGTGTATCGATCTCTCTGAAATTATACTACAAGTTTCCATACCACAAAGGGATGGTTAGGATTTGCTTTGGGGGGTTATGGCTCAAACCGTTTAGGAATTAGGGGCAAAAAAGGGGGAAAAACAAGGTTGTCCTGGTTAATGGACAAATACTTTAGTACAAAACATAATTTAAAGCAGTGTAAGGGAGATAAAGAAAATACATCATTGAAATTATCTCCCTTACACTGCTTTTAAATTATGTATAAAGTAATGGTTAATGAACAATAAAGATAATTTAAAACAGTGTAAGGGAGGTAATCCAAATACAACGTTTTGGTTACTTCCCTTACACTGCTTTTAAATTATGTTTAAAGAAATGCATATTTATAAAGGAAGACCAGTAAAAATATCTGCAAATGTTGCATCTTTTTTTTTTACAAAAAAATCCATATGAAAGATTTGACACTATATTTTTAATTCTATTATAAAATAGATTAAGTTAGCACTATGGTAAATTTAAATGGGTAATTATGGTTGCCAACTCCATTGGAAATTTGAATTGAGATAATGACCATATCTTGAGGGAAAGAATTTTTTGGGGGAAAAAAGGGGGGGGGGATAAAAAGAAATTGTGGGGGGTCAATTTTTTCTCATTTCGGATTTCAGAAATTAAAAAGAATTATTCTTCAAATATTATTTTTTTTTCAAATTTCAAATATTGAAAAATTTCAAGAAGTAATCTTTAATTGCACAGTATGGCACATTAGATTTGTAAAATCTTTGATCACATTTATTTATTTGTTGTGCCGAATCGAACAGTGTATTTAGATTTTTAATTTTGGGTCCAGTTTTCAAATTGGTCTACATTAAGGTCCAAAGGGTCCAAAATTAAACTTTGTTTGATTTTAGCAAAAATTGAATATATGAGGTTCTTTGATATGCTGAATCTAAACATGTATTTAGATTTTTGATTTTTGGCCCAGTTTTCAAGTTGGTCCAAATTGGGGTCCCAAATTAAATTTTGTTTGATTTCAACAAAAATTGAATATATGGGGTTCTTTGATAAGCTGAATCTTACCATGTATTTAGATTTTTTATTTGTGGACCCCGTTATCAAATTGGTTCATATTGAGGTCAAAAGGGTCCAAAATTAAACTTTGTTTGATTTCATCTAAAATTGAATTATTAGGGTTCTTTGATATTCCAAATCTAACCGTGTATTTAGATTTTTAATTTTGGGTCCTGTTTTTTAAATTGGTCTACATTAAGGTCCAAAGGGTCCAAGATTAAACTTAGTTTGATTTTAACAAAAATTGAATTCTTGGGGTTCTTTGATATGCTGAATCTAAACATGTGTTTAGATTTTTTATTATGGGCCCAGTTTTCAAGTTGGTCCAAGATAGGGTCCAGTATTTAAACTTTGTTTGATTTCAACAAAAATTGAATATATGGGGTTCTTTGATATGCTGAATCTAAACATGTATTTAGATTTTTGATTATGGGCCCAGTTTTCAAGTTAGTCCAAATTGGGGTCCAAAATTAAACTTTGTTTGATTTCATCAAAAATTGAATTATTGGGGTTCTTTGATATGCCAAATCTAACCGTGTATTTAGATATTTAATTTTGGGTCCAGTTTTTAAATTGGTCTTCATTGAGGTCCAAAGGGTCCAAAATTAAACTTAGTTTGATTTTAACAAAAATTGAATTCTTGGGGTTCTTTGATATGTTGAATCTAAACATGTGTTTAGATTTTTGATTATGGGCCCAGTTTTCAAGTTGGTCCAAGTTGGGGTCCAAAATTAAACTTTTTTTTATTTCAACAAAAATTGAATATATGGGGTTCTTTGATATGCTGAATCTAACCATGAATTTAGATTTTTTATTTGTGGGCCCCGCTATCAAATTGGTTCATATTGAGGTCAAAAGGGTCCAAAATTAAACTTTGTTTGATTTCATCAAAAATTGAATTATTGGGGTTCTTTGATATTCCAAATCTAACCGTGTATTTAGATTTTTAATTTTAAGTCTCGTTTTTTAAATTGGTCTACATTAAGGTCCAAAGGGTCCAAAATTAAACATAGTTTGATTTTAGCAAAAATTGAATTCTTGGGGTTCTTTGATATGCTGAATCTAAACATGTGTTTAGATTTTTGATTATGGGCCCAGTTTTCAAGTTTGTCCAAGTTGGGGTCCAAAATTAAACTTTGTTTGATTTTAACAAAAATTGAATATATGGGGTTCTTTGATATGCTGAATCTAACCATGTATTTTGATTTTAAACATTGGACCATAATAGGTAAATTAAAAAAATTCAAGTTCTTAGACCACATTCTTTCTGTGTCAGAAACCTATGCTGTGTCAAATATTTAATAACAATCCAAATTCAGAGCTGTATCAAGCTTGAATGTTGTGTCCATACTTGCCCCAACTGTTCAGGGTTCGACCTCTGCGGTCGTATCAAGCTGCGCCCCAGCGAAGCATTTTATTATATTTTGCGGTTGTATATTGGTATGACGTTGGCGTCATAGTCTGAAGACACATTGGTTTTCTCACTATAACTTTAGTTTAAGTGAATGGATCTCTATGAAATTTTACCCATTTAAATTTAAATACCACAAAAGGAAGGTTGGGATTGATTTTGGGGGTTATGGTACCAACAGTTTAGGAATTAGGGGCCAAAAAGGGGCAAAAATAAGCATTTTTCTAGTTTCCAGACGATAACTTGTGGAACGGTGTATAGATCTCTCTGAAATTATACCACAAGTTTCCATACCACAAAGGGATGGTTAGGATTTGCTTTGGGGGTTATGGCTCAAACAGTTTAGGAATGAGGGGCAAAAAAGGGGGAAAAAGAAGGGCGTCCTGGTTAATGGACAAATACTTTAGTACAAAACATAATTTAAAGCAGTGTAAGGGAGGTAATTCAAATACATCATTTGAATTACCTCCCTTACACTGCTTTTAAATTATGTATAAAGTAATGGTTAATGAACAATTAAGACAATTTAAAAGCAGTGTAAGGGAGGTAATCCAAATGCAACGTTTTAATTACCTCCCTTACACTGCTTTTAAATTATGTTTAAAGAAATGCATATTTATAAAGGAAGACCAGTAAAAATATCTGCAAATGTTGCATCTTTTTTTTTTTACAAAAAAATCCATATGAAAGATTTGACACCATATTTTAAATTCTTTTATAAAATAGATAAAGTTAGCACTATGGTAAATTTAAATGGGTAATTATGGTTGCAAACATGGGGGGGGGGGGCAAAAAGAAATTGTAGGGGGTCAATTTTTTCTCAATTCAGATTTCAGAAATTAAAAAGAAAAATTCTTCAAATATTATTGATTTTGCAAAAAAAAAGTGTGTGTGTGTGTGTGGGGGGGGGGGGGGGGGGGGTGTTAATACACAACAGCATAGTGTATTGCAGAAAAGCAAAAAAAAAAAGGGGGTAAATTTTTTTATTTTTTTTTGGGGGGAGGGGGGGGGGGGGGGGGGGGGGTCAATTCTCAACAGCAAAGTGTATTGCACAAAAGCAAAAAATTGAATATAAATTCAAATCATATAATCAATTCTAAGTTCTTTGACTACAGTTATTCTGTGTCAGAAACCTTTTATGTGTCTTGCCTCTGCCTTGTAGTTTTATAACAGCTTTGCTGTGAATCTACTCATCTGTACACCAAATAAATATATTATAAGATTCAAAAATACAAGTTATCTTTGAAATCATACCTGCGACCTTACAGGGTTTGGCAGGCGACCTTGTGACTTGATATCTACTTAAAAGACTTACTTAAATTTGCTTAAAAGTGACCTGATGACCTGGGTCATTTTTAAAAGACACCTTGTTACCTAAGGGGGCTCCTAATGGAGCCCCATCATAAGCTGAAAAGAAAATTAAACAAGGTTTTTTTAAAAAATGAAAAATTAAGAGTAATTTATGTTAACCCACAATTTCAATGTAAGGTACCAGCACTTACAAACAAGCAGTTTTCATTTGATACCTGTAAATGTATTGTGGATTAAGTTGTAAAATTCTTAGGTCTGTATTTTTTTATGTGAATATTAATGTCTGATGTTTATAAAAAGAAAGTAATTTTACTGTTCTTAATTACCCATTAACCAATACATGTATAAGTTGTGTTATAAATGATTTTTTTTGGCAGGCTTCTCATTATGCAACTAACAACATCATCATGACAATGGGAAGTGATTTTAATTACCAGAATGCCCATACATGGTTCAAAAATATGGACAAACTTATCAAATATGTCAATCAAAGGGTAAGTTCTGTTAAAAAAAATAATTGATTTCTGACACCTCAAACAACAATAATGCCTGAACCATCTATCATATTAATATCCCTTTGGTTTTTTTTTAATTTGTTCTCTAAGTACTGAAGTAGTGACTAATTTGTTGTGGTGTTTGCATTTAGAATTCGACTAAACATGGAAATACATGTTTTTGAACCAAACCAAGGAAAGAAAAGTGCAATATGCAATAGATACTGTTATCACTTTAGACCTCGAATTAAAAGTCTTATTGAAAACAAAAGTGATTTTTTGTTATTTAACCTCTAATTTCAGAACGATAAACTGATGGCCAGATTTGTTACAAAACAATGATACATATGACAGACAACAAACAACAACAATCACTAAGTTCAGTCTATTTTCATGCTAGATCTACATGTATGAATAAATATGAATTTTCTTCAGTAGTTCAGTCCATTTTCATGCTAGATCAATAAATTGTAATAATATTACCAATACTCCATGCCTAAATATACAACTAAAACACAAATGTAAATTTGCAGACAGCCAGATATAATTGTTTTTCAAATAATGTTTTGCAGTACAAACTTTACAAATATCAAACATATATAATGTATATATCAATGTGTTAATACAGTGTATTCACTTAAATCTCTGCATTTCCTGTCATAGCCGTCCAGGAAAAACCAATGAAACCATTATTTACATGTAGATATAGATATGAATGGAAACCTGTATCTAATGCCAATGCTGAAGCCTTCCTCAGGATAAAGGTGTCGGACCTCATCATTATTATTTAGAAAATACATATATAAATAGAAAATCAAAAGTTAAATTGCATTTAGCAATTATAAAAAGGAGCTTCTGTGTTTAAAAACGGCTAGAATGTGAAGCGCTTGAAAAACACCAAGTATATCGTAATACCAATTCGACTTCCTGATTGGTCGATTTTGTTCTGTCTCATAAATATTTATTCGATCCGCTGGAAAATACTATTCATCTTTGACGGTTCAGTCCATTTCACTGGATTCATAAGTGAATATAGTTTATAGGTGATTAGCTATAGAAATGAATCTCAAAACTGTTTTCAAAAGTTGAAATTAAATTACCCATTGTTTATAAATTATTTAATCATCAATGAATTGAGCAACATTTATCAGTTAACACATTTTGATTTTATATATCAGCATAAATTTTAACTGAGAAAAATTCACTAGTAATGAAAATGAATATAAGGTCAAGCATTGAACATAGTGAATAATCAGTGTACAATTCCTTCATTATCATGATAATGAAATTCATTGAGGACTTCATAAAATTAGTCAAATATTAATTCAAATTTTGCTATATACAATGGATTTTTCTTTGAACTATGAAGGGGTGAGAACGATTCATTGTTAGATTTACCTGTTTTGAAATAGACTAATCTACAACAGATGAATCCATTATCTATCAAATTTACCTTTTTTAAATGGACTGAACTAAATAGGGAAAAACCATATCCCATCAAAATAAATATAAAAAATAAGGCATTTAGTATTTTTGTTAATGAAACATTCTTGATCCAAACATGGCCTAAATACCATTGTAAACTTACTGCTGTTGGGATGAAATATTAATGAAATTTTTTGATAATACTTCTCTTTTAGATTTTTTCATTGTGCCAAAATAGATTTGTATTATGAAGTTCTTATAAAGACTTAATGTTTAACCATATGAAGCTCTAACATGAAAGTCTTTCATTGAATTGTATTGTTTATAATCAGAGTCGGACATTTTAAGATTCTTTTAAGAGTATTCCCTCAGTACCTTGAAATCTTGTAAAATCCTAGAATTTTATTGCATTTATTTCAGACCTGGAAATGGCCTTTAAATTCATCAAAAACAGCCAAAATTGTGGAAAAAAACTAAATTTTTAACATTCAGAAGCATGTTTTAGAGTTCCAAGTTATTTGCCTTTCATAATTCAACGTCATTGGATTCAAAACTAATCTTTGATACATTTGTAAGAAGAAGGTTTTTGTTATCTGTAATGAAAGAACTTAGGTATTGACAATGACTAGAGTCTTTCCAGTGTTTTTAAAAAAGGAAGTTTCTTTGCAACTGTTCCCAAATTAAATGTCTTAAAGTCACAAGCAACTTATGTTTTCTTCAATTTTGTCTTTTGATACAATCCTTGAAATATAGTAATGTCCTTTAAAAAACCCTAGAATTTTCTGCTAAAAAAGAGCATGAATCTCCTCTTCCTACACTGTATAAAGTAAATAATTTGATGACTTTCTGATCTAAGGAGAATCTATTTTCAGCAAGTCAATGGAAGTAAAGTTAATGTTTTCTACTCCACACCATCCTGTTATCTTCAAAGTTTAAATAATGCCAGCAAGACGTGGACCACCAAACAAGATGATTTCTTTCCATATGCACATAGACCACACAGTTTCTGGACTGGGTACTTCACCAGTAGGCCAACCCTGAAAGGCTATGTCAGACAAACTAATAATTTCTTACAGGTATGTTAATGAAAATGAAAAGGCATTGGGAGTATGTATAAAGAGAATATCCTAGATTTTATATGCTACATAATTTTTTTTCCGCTGATTCACATAATTAATACAGCTTCCAATAACAAATGTTCCATTTGGAGCTACTGTGTTTAGAGACCTCTTATGTCAGTATATCATTACTTTATTACTTGATTAATTGTTTACTAGTTTATGTTTGAAATTATTAGTTTTATTAGTTTGTGTTTACATCAGTGAATTTTCTATATATATATATATATATATATATATATAAATGGTTTACAGTTTGAAGGGAAAATGTCCTCATGCAATATGATGAAAAAAATGATAATCATGGTTAATTAGCTGAAATTTATATGGTAGTTTTATGCCAAAAACTTAAGTGAAAAGTCACATGTAATTCAGGTTATTTTTCTTAAAGGTATTAATAAATTTAAGTACATTCTATATTGAATCTGTATTGGGAACTTAAAAGTTGACTTTCTTTTGTACTGAAATAGTAAATTAATAGTTTTTTTTTCACTTTTCTTGTTGATTTTAAGGTTTGTAAACAGCTTGATGGACTTGCAGAATTAAAAGATACAGATAACAGTACATTTCATTTAAACATTTTACGTAAGTATGGTAACTTCATATCCCAAAATCATTACTTTTTCATATACTTTTGATTTTCCTATTCCTCATTATATTGCAGTGGAGTCTAACCTGCAATGTGTCCTTGCATGTTACTCAAAACCATCTATTTTTGCAAGCAATTTATTTTCAGGACTTTCGTGATTATAAGAATAATGTGAATATGTCTTCCCTAACATGAATACATCAAGAAAATTATAAAATCACAAAAATAAATTACCACACACTCGCCTAGAAAGGTCTTACACCAAACAAAGTATCTTCGAAAATAAGCTGATTTACAGTATACTATTTCAATGAGACCAACAGCCTAGAAAAATGACATTCATATGCAAGCATTCAAAAACATTGATTTTTTTCAAACTATCAACCATCAATCACCACTAATGCTTAAAAACATGTATCTACCACCAACAGAAATTTTTTAATTGACATCTTATCCTTTAATTGATTTGATTAGTGAAAGTAAATAAGACACTATAAACTTTAACACAAACTTCAGTGTCTAGGTTTTTATACGACCGCAAAAAAATTTTTGTGGGCGTATATTGGTATGACATTGGCGTTGTCGTTGTCGTCGTCGTCCGGCGTCGTCCGAAGACACATTGGTTTTCGCACTCTAACTTTAGTTTAAGTGAATGAATCTCTATGAAATTTCACCACAAGGTTCAATACCACAAAAGGAAGGTTGGGATTGATTTTGGGGGTTATGGTACCAACAGTAAAGGAATTAGGGGCCAAAAGGGGGCCAAAAATAAGCAATTTTGTAACTTCCACACATAACTTGTGTGTTAGTGTATGGATCTCTCTGAAATTGTACTGCAAGATACCATACCACAAAGGGAAGGCTGGGATTGATGATGGGGTAATTGCCTCAATATTTTAGGAATTTGGGGCCAAAAAGGGGCCAAAAAACACATTTTTCTAGTTTCCAGACAATAACTTGTGTTATTTATTGTGTGGATCTCTGAAATTGTACCACAAGGTTCCATATCACAAAAGGAATGCTGGGATTGATTTTGGGGGTAATTGCCTCAAAATTTTAGGAATTAGGGGCCAAAAAAGGGGCAAAATACAAGCATTTTTCTAGTTTCATGACAATAACTTGTGTGTAAGTGTATGGATCTTTATGAAATTGTACTACAAGGTTCCATACCACAAAGGGAAGGCTGGGATTGATGATGGGGGTAATTGCCGAAACGTTTAGGAATTGGGGGCCAAAAAGGGGCCAAAAATAAGCATTTTTCTAGTTTCCAGACAATAACTTGTGTTCAAGTGTATGGATCTCTCTGAAATTGTACTGCAAGGTACCATACCACAAAGGGAAGGCGGGGATTGATGATGGGGGTAATTGCCTCAATATTTTAGGAATTAGGGGCCAAAAAGGGGCAAAAAACAAGTATTTTTGTAGTTTCAGGACAATAACTTGTGTTTAAGTGTATGGATCTCTCTGAAATTGTACTGCAAGATACCATACCACAAAGGGAAGGCTGGGATTGATGATGGGGTAATTGCCTCAATATTTTAGGAATTTGGGGCCAAAAAGGGGCCAAAAAACACATTTTTCTAGTTTCCAGACAATAACTTCTGTTATTTATTGTGTGGATCTCTCTGAAATTGTACTGCAAGGTACCATACCACAAAGGGAAGGCTGGGATTGAGTTTGGGGTTGATGAATAATAAGGGGGTTCAAAAAATATTCGGGGGGGGGATTTTTTTCTTTTCCTTTTTGAAGAGCTTCGACTTTTGTCGAAAAAGCGAGACATAGCGATCCTCCATTCCGTCGGCGTCATCGTCGTCGTCGGCGACCACAAATATTCACTCTGTGTTTAAAGTTTTTGAAATTTTAATAACTTTCTTAAACGATCCTTGATTTCTACCAAACTTGGAAAGAAGCTTGTTAATGATCATAAGATAGTATCCAAAAGTAAATTTTGTAAAAAAAAAATTCCATTTTTTCCGTATTTTACTTATAAATGGACTTAGTTTTTCTGCCAGGAAACATTACATTCACTCTGTGGTTAAAGTTTTTGAAATTTTAATAACTTTCTTAAACTATCCTGGATTTCTACCAAACTTGGAAAGAAGCTTGTTTATGATCATAAGATAGTATCCAGAAGTAAATTTTGTAAAAAAAAAAATCATTTTTTCAGTATTTTACTTATAAATGGACTTAGTTTTTCTGTCAGTTAACATTACATTCACTCTGTAGTGTAAGTTTTTAAAATTTTAACAACTTTCTTAAACTATCTTGGATTTGTACCAAACTTGGACAGAAACTTGTTTATGATTAAAAGCTAGTATCTAGAAGGAAATTTTGTTAAAATTTTGTTAAAATTTTGTTCCATTTTTTCCGTATTTTACATATAAATGGACTTAGTTTTTTTTCCAGTTAACATTACATACAGTGTGCAGTTTAAGTTTTTAAAACATTTATTAGATTCATAAACTATCCTGGATTTTTACGAAACTTGGACAGAAGCTACTTACAATCAAAAGATAGTATAGAGAGGAATATTTTTATTAATTTTTTTCCTCATTTTTGTTGAGCCTGCGATTAACAGCAAAAGTAGGCGAGACACTGGGTTCCGCGGAACCCTTACGAATTTTTTTTCTTTTTTTCCTTTTTTTTTTCTTTTAAAATTTTCCATTTTAAGTTGGTTATTTCTGATTTATATTTAAAAGCAAATAATAATGATATGGTAGGAGATACACACAAAACAGGATGTGTAAATTATTATATAATAAGTATTGTGCAATAGCAAGAAATTTTCAATTGCACAGTATTGCACAATAGCAAGAAATCTTCAATTGCACAGTATTGCGCAATAGCAAGAAATCTTCAATTGCACAGTATTGCGCAAAAGCAAGAAATATCCAATAGCACAATATTGCGCAATAGCAAGAAATTGTCAATTGTACAGTATTGCGCAATAGCAAGAAATATTTAATTGCACAGTTTTGTGCAAAAGAAGATACTTCGTATAAATTGCTTATTTCTTGACCAATTTCAATGGGGTTTTATTCTTGAATTCTTGGGGTTCTCTAATATGCCGAATCTAACCGTGTATTTAGTTTTGGGATTTTGGGCCCCGTTTATAAATTGGTCCACATTGAGGTCCAAAGGGTCCAAAATTAAACTTTGTTTGATTTCATCAAAAATTGAATTATTGGGGTTCTTTGATATGCTGAATCTAACAGTGTATTTAGATTCTTAATTTTTGGTTCCGTTTTCAAATTGGTCTACATTAAGGTCCAAAGGGTCCAAAATTAAACTTAGTTTGATTTTAACAAAAATTGAATTCTTAGGGTTATTTGATATGCTGAATCTAAACATGTATTTAGATTTTTGATTATGGGCCCAGTTTTCAAGTTGGTCCAAATCTGGGTCCAAAATTAAACTTTGTTTGATTTCAACAAAAATTGAATATATGGGGTTCTTTGATATGCTGAATCTAACCATTTATTTAGATTTTTGATTTTTGGGCCCCATTATCAACTTTGTCCACATTGAGGTCAAAAGGGTCCAAAATTAAACTTTGTTTGATTTCATCAAAAATTGAATTCTTGGGGTTCTTTGATATGCTGAATCTAACCATGTATTTAGATTTTGGATATTGGACCATAATAGGTGAATGTCCAATTTAAAATTTTAAGTTCTTAGACCACATTCATTCTGTGTCAGAAACCTATGCTGTGTCAAATATTTAATCACAATCCAAATGCAAAGCTGTATCAAGCTTGAATGTTGTGTCCATACTTGCCCCAACTGTTCAGGGTTCGACCTGTGCGGTCGTATCAAGCTGCGCCCTGCGGAACATTTTATTTTTTATAGTTATTCAAGAAATATAAAACTAATGCATTGAATTTATATTTTGACAAATAGATTGTCAAGTTATCTGTTAACAGATTTGTTTTCATGTTGCAGGTGAAGCATTAGGAGTTGCTCAGCATCATGATGCAGTGTCGTAAGATTCTTCATTTCAATTATTTTCATTTAACCTAACATGAAAAAATAGTATATTTATGGAGAAGGTTTTATTAGTATATTTTGACAGATATTCTGTGATTCATTTATTTTCATGGGTACTAGTTTTTAGGGAAAATTATATTTTTGTGGACACTTGATATTTCATGGTTTTGCAAACCTAAAAGAAACTTGTTTTTTCTTGACCACTTGAATTCGTTGTTTACCTATACAGATGAAATCCACGAAGATAAATACCCCACCAACAGTAAGAATTCACATTATATTAAACTACAGTATAAATAATCTATTGTAAAAATAATTCTGAATTATCTTTTCTTGACAGAAGATTTTTCAAAGTAAATACACATATCTATTTTTAATACCAAAATACTCAGAAAGCCTTCCTTTTTAAATCTACCGCAAAGACAATTTACGAAAGATTCAGAAGGAAGACTTGACAAATATTCATTGTTTAAAATGATAAATGGTTAAAAAAAGGTTCTTATCTTAATTAAATTCCAGGTTGAAAGTCAAATATATTATTTGAAATACAACAAATTTAGTTGAATCAATCAATTTGTTTGTCACATCAGATTTAGAATAAATGTGAAATATATTGATGCAATAGCATAACCATTCCCATGTTTAACAAAATATGTTGATGATAATATTAAAAACAGAAATTTAAATCAATGGTTTGATTTTCAAAATGGGAGACAACTCTTTTTTTCATTACAGCATAAACTATACATGAACTAATTTTCTTGCATGTGCTGAATTTAAAAAATGACAGTGATTTTAACAATGAGAGACAACTCTTTTTCATGTTACAGTCTAAACCATACATCTTATTTTTATATGAATTAATTCTCTGGCATATGGTGAATTTTTGAATTGGCAGTTCTTGACAAAAGTTAAGAAGAAAAAAGTGAATTAATTTTTCTCAAATGTAAAGAAAAGGCTGATTCTTAAGTCAGCATAACTTTAAAACAAAAATTTGTATATTGTACAATGTTATTAATGAAATTAAAAAAAAATTTTGATGAAGTCTTTTATGTGCTTATGTAATAAAATACTACAATACAGTTCCTACAGGAATGAAACAAGTATTAACAAAATTATGCTTAACAACTTACATTCTACCTTTATTTATCCCAGTCTTTTTTCACAGTGGTACAGAGAAGCAAGCTGTTGCCTATGACTATGCAGAAAGATTAGCTAATGGTGTAATGGAATGTCAGGTAATTTATAAAACATTACTAACATGGGCAACTTTCATTAATGAAAATATTATTTTAAGAATTTCTTTTATATCTTTCAACTTTTGACACAACAGAAAGAATAAATAAAGAATACTGAAATCCACAAAAATATATATCCCTACAAGCATAATTCAAAAGAACACACTACATATTTTACAAATTTTTGTGCACTCTGCAGCATTTTGTCGCAGAAGCAAGACAAAGTGGTTCCTACATTCCATTGACGTTGGGGGCAACAACATTTAGCTACAGTGAGTTGTTAAAGGTTATTTATACATCCATAACTTTGTCAACCTTCATGGAATTTGATGAAACTTAGACAGAAGCTTTTTTATGATCAATAGACAGTATATGTCCAGAGCAAAATTTTTTTGAAAATTATTTTTTGGATATTTAGCTCACCTGCCATACAGGACCAAGTTATCTATTCTCATTACTTGGCCTCCTCTGTCGCCTGTTACGTTTTACATAAATATTCACCTCTGTAACTACAGGTCCAAATTGAACTGAGTTTGGCCTTTACTATTATTGGGATATCTAGTTTAAAAAGTATGTCGAATGATCCCAGCTCCCAACCAACGTGGCAGTCATGGGTAAAACTGGAATATAGGGGTAAAATACAAGTTTTGTCTATAGTCTTGAAAATGATATAGACAGAGAATATCTGACAGGGGTAAAAATTTATTGCCCTTAAATGGACAAGAATTTGCATTTGAAGAGAAAAAGTTTAATTGATAGTATTTTACAGTGACTTTTTATTGGTAGGTGTTGCACAGCCAAACAGATGATGTTTTAAACAAGAGTCTTACTGCTATGTCCTATCTGCCATGTTTCTGTACCTAAACTTCCCCTGTAGTTTGATTTGAATACAAGGTCATTTAATAAAATTGCAAGATAATCATTACCTATTTATTATTTTATTAATAGAAAGTTGTAAATGATGCCCTGAAGAAGTTATATAAGAAAGGAAGTACACCAGCACCAAATCAGTTGTTTTGTAACCTACTCAACATTAGTGTGTGTCATGTGACAGAAACCAGTAAACAGGTATTCTTAATTTGAATCTGAAAATAGTGAACTGTTTAAAAGTGTTCTGTTCTTCATGCAAGCATTGGTTGTGCAAACTTTTTACTTGTTTTTTTGTTGTTTTTTTTTCATTTAATACTTACAATGGAGAGTTTTTATAAGTGATTAATATAGACTTAAATTATAATTTGACTTTGATATATTGTTTGTTGTTAAATTGTAGATTTTTTTTTTCTAGTTTACTTTGACTGTATATAACCCCTTGGCAAGATCAGTTAGTTCTTGGATCAGGCTGCCTGTTGTAGGAACAAATTATACCATAAGAGGACCAAAAGGGGAAAACCTACAATCTCAGGTAAATCTTAAATGTAACACTCAAAGCTACACAAAGAAAATACTATATATAATACATGTCTCACAAATTAAGAAGCTATATTGAACCTTGCTTCAATGTCAGGAAATACCTTTTCTTACCCTAGAACAAGACTATTTTTTCGCCAACAAGTGACTAGTTAGTGCAATTACCACTCAAAACTGTTAAGTACACCATTTATATTGATACTTGAACTTATTTTATGCATTGATTTGTTGATTTTAGACTGTCATTATTTGTGTGAACATTCAGGTAGTTATGTAAAAACAATATTCATATGTATTTGTAATTGATAAGATGTTTGAAACAACAAGGGACTTTCAGGACAAAAAGATGCCAAGGAATAATTGTCCTTTCTAGCAAGAGGGACGAAAGATACCAGAGGGACAGTCAAACTCATAGATCGAAAACAAACTGACCAAGCCATGGCCAAAAATAAAAAGACAAACAGACAAATAATAGTACTGATGACACAACATAGAAAACTAAAGACTAAGCAACACGAACCCCACCAAAATCAGGGGTGATCTCAGGTGCTCCGGAAGGGTAAGCAGATCCTGCTCCACATGTGGCACCCGTCGTGTTGCTTATGTTATTACAAATCCGGTAAATAGTCCAATCGGTAGGTCACATTCGTGAAAAGTGAAGGGTATTGTAGTTACGACATAAGGAACATATCCAATATCATCTGTGAAACGGTTATTCCATAACGGTCAAATAACTCGTGATGGTGTCCGTAAAATTTACGAAGGGATGATTTCAATTTCACCATTTTGGAAACTCTTTGTTTAATAGCAAACTTCATAGCAGTTTATGAACTGGATTTTCAATGGAAAATATTGGTTATTAATTTGGTGATGTTTGGCAGCAGCCGGGCAGTTGGGTGGGTGGCCGGGCGGCTGGACAGCTGCCAAACAGTGTCCGTGCAATAACTTGAAAATGCTTTGACAAAATCTTTTCAAAGGCCCCGTAAGACCCCTTTTTGGCCCCAAAATATAACATTTTTACAAAATAGTTAAAAATGTAAACTTTAGCTATTTATTGGAAAGAAGAATACTTTTGTTACATAAATATGGGTTGTTTTGAACAATATAATGGACATCCATCAGGTACTAGCATCATTATTTCATGCAAAAATACTGAAATCTTCACAATTTTAGCATTTGTGCTAATCTAGAGACGGTTTTTGTCTAAAATGGAAGTGGCCGTTCTTATGATCAGTCTTAATATTTAAAGACACGTTGTATTAAATGATATTACATAACATATATAAATGTTGAGACTGAACACGAATGCGGCCTAATTTGCTAATTTTGTTGAGATCCAAGTTAGATGTTTACTTGACAATAAAGATCTGCTTTATTTTTCACATTAAAAAATTTCTTGTGAAAATGAATTAGTTTATAGTATTTTAGCTATATTAAAGTATGTTACATGTTCATTATCTTGTCTGTATTTTTATACGACCAAAAACAAATTTTGGGGTCGTATATTGCTATCACGTCGGCGTCGTCGTCGTACAAAGATATTTGGTTTCCTGACAATAACTTTAGTTTTTAAAAGTGTATGAATCTCTATGAAATTTAACTAAAAGGTTCAATACCACAAAAGAAAGGTTGGGATTGTTTTTGGGGGCGATGGTCCCAACTGTTTAGGAATTAGGGGCCAAAAAGGGGCCCAAAACAAGCATTTTTCTAGTTTCAGGACAATAACTTGTGGATAAGTATTTTGATTGCTCTGAAATTTTACCACAATGTTCAATACCACGAGTAGAAGGTTGGGATTCATTTTGGGGGAAATTGCCCTAACCGTTCGGGAATTAGGGGCCAAAAAGGGGCCAAAACAAGCATTTTTCTAGTTTTCAGACAATAACTTGTGTTTAAGTGTATGGATGTATGGGAGGGGGGTGGGGGGTGGGGGTTCAATTTGTTTCCCCTTAAGATTTAAGAAATTATCAATTTTCAAAAGAAAAATTTGGGGTCACAATTTATTTTGCTTATTCTTTGTATATAGTCTGAAAACAGATTTACTAAGTATTGCGCAACAGCACAGTGTATTGCACAACAGCAAGAAATCTTCAATTGAATATAAATTCAAATCATATAACCAATTTCAAGTTCTTTGACTACATTTATTCTTTGTCAGAAACCTATAATGTGTCAAATATTAATTACAATCCAAATTCAGACCTGTGCGGTCGTATCCAGCTGCGCTAATTTATTAATTAATATAGAGTGAAAATAAGTCATTTAAATGTAAATTTTAATTATTTTCAATGCATTAGATAATTCAAGTATCAGCTGACACTAAAAGGATACCAGAAAGAACTGGATCCCTAGCAAAGAATGAACTGGTTTTCCATGCAGATCTTCCTCCCTTGGGATTTAATACCTACTTCATAAGTATGACAGGTAAATACAGGTTTAAGGTCCCATTTATTTACTCTACCTAACCTTACTTTTTTGATATTACTATGACTTGTCTTTAAAACCCAGTTGCAGTTTGTATTTTTTTTTCTTATCATACTGTTTGATAAGTTGATTTTTTATACAACCGCAAACAAATTTTGCGATCTTATATTGGTATGACGTTGTCGTCGTCGTCGTTGTCCGAAGACACAATGGTTTTCGCACTCTAAATTTAGTTTAAGTGAATGGATCTCTATGAAATTTTACCATAAGGTTCAATACCACAAAAGGAAGGTTGGGATTGATTTTGGGGGTTATGGTACCAACAGTTAAGGAATTAGGGGCCAAAAAGGGGCCAAAAATAAGCATTTTTGTAACTTCCAGACATAACTTGTGTGTTAGTGTATGGATCTCTCTGACATTGTACCTCAAGGTTCCATATCACAAAGGGAATGCTGGGATTGATTTTGGGGGTAATTGCCTCCAAATTTTAGGAATTAGGGGCCAAAAAAGGGGCAAAAAACAAGCATTTTTATATGGACAAATACTTTAGTACAAAACATAATTTAAAGCAGTGTAAGGGAGATAAATCAAATACATCATTTGTATTACCTCCCTTACACTGCTTTTAAATTATGTATAAAGTAATGGTTAATGAACAATTAAGACAATTTAAAACAGTGTAAGGGAGGTAATCCACATACAACATTTTGATTACTTCCCTTACACTGCTTTTAAATTATGTTTAAAGAATTGCATATTTATAAAGGAAGAACAGTAAAAATATCTGCAAATGTTGCATCTTTTTTTTTTTACAAAATAATCCATATGAAAGATTTGACACTATATTTTAAATTCTATTATAAAATAGATTAAGTTAGCACTATGGTAAATTTAAATGGGTAATTATGGTTGCAAATTCCATTGGAAATTTGAATTGAGATTATGACCATATCTTGAGGGAAAGAATTTTTTGGGGGGAAAAGGTGGAGGAGGGGGGGGGGGGGGTAAAAAGAAATTGTGGGGGGTCAATTTTTTCTCATTTCAGATTTCAGAAATTAAAAAGAATTATTCTTTAAATATTATTTTTTTTTTCAAATTTCAAATATTGAAAAATTTCAAGAAGTAATTAATTGCACAGTATGGCGCATTAGATTTGTAAAATCTTTGACCACATTTATTTATTTGTTATGCCAAATCTGACCGTGTATTTAGATTTTTAATTTTGGGTCCAGTTTTCAAAATTGGTCTACATTAAGGTCCAAAGGGTCCAAAATTTAACTTAGTTTGATTTTAACAAAAATTGAATATATGGGGTTATTTGATATGCTGAATCTAAACATGTATTTAGAATTTTGATTTCGGGCCCAGTTTTCAAGTTGGTCCAAATTGGGGTCCAAAATTAAACTTTGTTTGATTTCAACAAAAATTGAATATATGGGGTTCTTTGATATGCTGATTCTTACCATGTATTTAGATTTTTTATTTGTGGGCCCCGCTATAAAAATGGTTCATATTGAGGTCAAAAGGGTCCAAAATTAAACTTTGTTTTATTTCATCAAAAATTGAATTATTGGGGTTCTTTGATATGCCAAATCTAACCGAGTATTAAGATTTTTAATTTTGGGTCCAGTTTTCAAATTGGTCTACATTAACGTCCAAAGGGTCCAAAATTAAACTTAGTTTGATATTAACAAAAATTGAATATATGGGGTTCTTTGATATGCATAATCTAAACATGTATTTAGATTTTTGATTTCGGGCCCAGTTTTCAAGTTGGTCCAAATTGGGGTCCAAAATTAAACTTTGATTTCAACAAAAATTGAATATATGGGGTTTTTTGATATGCTGAATCTAACCATGTATTTAGATTTTTTATTTGTGGGCCCCGCTATTAAATTGGTTCATATTGAGGTCAAAAGGGTCCAAAATTAAACTTTGTTTTATTTCACCAAAAATTGAATTATTGGGGTTCTTTGATATGCCAAATCTAACCGTGTATTTAGATTTTAAATATTGGGTCCCGTTTTTTTAAATTGGTTTACACTAAGGTCCAAAGGGTTTAAAATTAAACTTAGTTTGATTTTAACAAAAAATGAATTCTTGGGGTTCTTTGATATGCTGAATCTAAACATGTGTTTAGATTTTTGATTATGGGCCCAGTTTTCAAGTTGGTCCAAGTTGGGGTCCAAAATTAAACTTTGTTTGATTTCAACAAAAATTGAATATATGGGGTTCTTTGATATGCTGAATCTAACCATGTATTTTGATTTTTGGGCCCCGTTATCAAATTGGTCCACATTGAGGTCAAAAGGGTCCAAAATTAAACTTTTGTTTGATTTCATCAAAAATTGAATTCTTTGGATTCTTTGATATGCTGAATCTTACCATGTATTAAGATTTTGGATATTGGACCATAATAGGTAAATTAAAAAAATTGAAGTTCTTAGACCACATTCATTCTGTGTCAGAAACCTATGCTGTGTCAAATATTTAATCACAATCCAAATTCAGAGCTGTATCAAGCTTGAATGTTGTGTCCATACTTGCCCCAACTGTTCAGGGTTCGACCTCTGCGGTCGTATCAAGCTGCGCCCAGCGGAGCATTTTATTTTTACTAAAGTGCCTTATTAGATTTTTTCGAAACACTATAAACTGTCAAACATAGGCCTTTATATTTTTCATTTACAAAATGCCTGTAATTTTTTTTTCGAAAAACTAAACTCTGATTAAATTACCCTTCTATTAAAGTATTAATGAGTTGTTACTTGTGTAATGTTTTCCTTTCATTTATTTTGGTCATTGCCTCACTTATAGTTCCTAATGCTATTCCAAAAAATATCCCATTCTGTACTTTGAATTTTTCTGCAGAATTTGGTGTTTTCTTAATCTGGTGTCACATAGTTGAATGGTGCTAAATATATGTTTTTTTCTCATCAGATTTGAATTAGTTTCTAACAAATACTTGAAAGTTTTCAATTCTTAAAAAAATCTAATATAAAATCATGAAAAAGAAATATTTTTTTGTTGATAAAAAATAGTTTTTTTTTTTGTTTTTTGTTTGTTTGTGTAAATCAGTTTATTTTGGCTGTTTTATTTGATTTGTTGATAGGCTTTCTACATGTAGTTTAGTACCCACATGATTAAATGATTTTTTTTGTAATTAGTTAAAATTATAAATCATCAATATACAAGAGTTATTTGTTCACTTATTAAATTAATATTTCTACAAGTACTAAAACAAGGTAAGCATGATAACAAACAATACTTTCAGCAATCTTCTGTAAAGTCAATGTTATGTTGAAAATAAAACAGTATAAATCAGTTATTTATGTTTGGATGGCATCTTTTATTTTTTCCCAAAAAATAACGTTACCATGTTCATCGTTGGGATATTCTATATACGACTGTTTCTGTATAAGTTCATAAAGCAGTAAAGGTAATTCCTCAGGTAAAAGTTTCTCATAAAAGACAAGAAAAAGAACATTTTTGCCTTTCCTAGAATGAACGTTTTCCATTCTTGCCATATTATATTCAAACATACAGTAATATGAATCCAGAAATGATCTAGTTATTATACAAATTGTCTTTCGACTGTTTTGGATAGCGTTAATGATGTTATCTGTAATATCTTGTCCTGGTAAGAAATCCCGCTGATGTATACACAGCCTCAAATTGTAGTCATGTTCCAGATTCTGAATACAGTCCTGTGTGACGAATGTTCTGTCTTCATCGGAATAAGATATAAATGCATCATAAGTATACTCATTTAAATTATCCTCAGTGTTCTTTATAGACGTATATTTTAGTTTAGCTGTGTAGAAAATATAGCGTAGTTTCCATCTATGTCTATAAATAAATGCTCCGAACAATACTATGATAAATCCAAAAATAGCAAAAGATGCAGAAATTATCAAATATGCGTAGCTAATACACTCTTCTTGAAGATGTTTTATTACTTTTTCAAATGAATTCAATGTTGAAGTGCTTCCATTTTCATAAGTACATTTGTATTGATTGACATTGATGAAATGTTGACGGTTAGCTTTCATCCATTTTAGAAATGGGACAGTATAACAGGTGCACTGCAAGGGGTTATTGATGAAATCAATTTTTGTGTTGTCATTTTCAAGAACTTTATCAATATTCCTCATTGATGCCACATCCAAGAAATTTATTGCATTGTTTGCGAGATTCATGACCTTTAACTTTGTCAAGTAAGACAAATCAAAATGGACAGCTTTCAAAAAGTTAGAATTTAAGTCGATAATTTGAAGGTACTGTTGGCCATGGAACATTGTGAAATTAAGTTGATGAATGGAATTGTTGGATAGATTTACATACTCAAGTTTACTATCTTGTGTTGTCATGTATTGATGTTCCGATAGATAGCCTCCTAGTGCATTACTGTTTAATTTCAGAATCAAAACATAAGTAAGGTTTAGAGCTATCTGCTTTAACATATTGCCACTTAGATCCAGAATTTGAAGGTCCGGTGGTGCAGGCAGACGGAAAGTTTGAGTTGAAAATTGTAAAATTTTGTTATTTGTAAAGGTCAGTTCATGAACAGAAGTTGTTGACAGAAGATCAAAAATTTTATTCCAAGAAAACATTTGTGATGTGAAGAAAACATTATTCATTTTCACAACTTTTACTGGTGTTTTAGCCAAGCTATGGAACAGTTTTATAATTTGTTCTTGTCCAAATTTATATCCTGATTGACAGTCAAGATCAAGCCAAAAAGCTTCAAGCTTTGTCAGACCAGAAAGAGCCTCAGATGTCACCAACATTTGGTGACAATGGTTGATATATAGATATCTTAAATTTGGTGTATATCTGAATACATTATCATGAAGAGGAAGATGAAGGCAATTGCTAAAATTGAGTGAAGTTAAATGATGTAAGGAAAGATAACCCCTACAGAGAACTTTTGTTTCAAATAATGGTATATTAACATCCAATTTCAGTACCTCCAACTTTTTTAAATCTGATATTGTTTCATCGGGAAAGGCAAACAGAGCAAAAGTAGGTTTAGTTAGATCGTTATTGTTCTGAATAGAAATATCTGTTAGTGACTTCAAAGGTTTGAAACTTCCTTTAGGAAATCGTTCCAACTTATAGAGCAGTTCATTATGATCAAGTTTAAGATGCTTTAAATTTGCAAGTCCTGTAAAAGTTTGAATATTTATCGACTGTAAATTGTTATATGATAGATCCAGTAGTGTAAGGTTTGTCAAATGTTCAAATGAATTATTTGCTCTTCTCTTGGATAAACTATTGTTCAAGTAATTATTTTTAAGTTTCAGGTGCCTCAGGTCACATAGTCCATAAAAGACTTGTTGATTTATTGACCCTATTTTGTTGAAAGATAAATCCAGTACTTTTAGATTGTACATATTTTCAAAAGTATTATCTGGTATTTCACCGATTAAATTGTGTTGTAAATTTAGGTAAGCTGTGTTGGATGGTAAGTTAGGGATGTCTGTCATATTTCTGTTCGAACAATCTACATATAGCTCTCCTTTTTGGTAAAAATTTTCGCACTGGAATTTTGGTTCTGGTTTGAAAGTTCCAGCTTTGCTGATGATAAGGTGATCACTGCAGATCAAAAACATGATTAGAAACTTACAAACTTGAAATGGCTCCATTTTCTCCTTCTGCAAAGGAAAAACAAGATTATTTTAATCAAACAAAGATTTTAATTACCCATCATGCCACTGTATGTAGTAAAAATAAATTATTTTCCATTTTAGAAAAAAATTAGTATTGTTACTTGACTTTAATTAACTCTCTCTTCCAGTCCAGTTAAAGTCTCCTATTACAGTGTTAAATTAATCAGAACTGTCCAGTTGGTCAAAAACTAGATTAGGAGAGCCACAATCAAGTTAACATTGTTGGTAATGATTATAAGTGAAGAAAATCAAAGGGGTATTGCAACCAGATTATGTAACAAATTGTAAATGAATGAGTATTGATATATAAACCAACATGTGCCTGTCCCAAATCAGGAGCCTGAAGTTCTGTGGTTGTCGTTGGTTCATGTCTGTCTTATTTATTTTTTGTAAATTGTTTTATTATAAATTAGGCTGTTTGATAGTATTCATTTGAATTGCTTCATTTCTAGGTGTTGAAGGTTGTACAGTGCTAGAAAATTACTTATATTCACTTTATTTGAACACTGGTGAATAGTTTTCTAATTGATAATCATACCACATCTCCTTATTTTTATATGCAATGATTGAACATCATCAGCATATTTATGACCTTTAACAAAATGTCTGTTTACAGAAAAGAAAAATTTGAAGGACAATTAATACACTTGTTTTCTTTATGAAAATAGTAACCATTAGATGCTACATAAAATATGATATTCTGATTTAAAATTTGTTTACCATTACAGCCACAAGTATTACATTAAATTTGACACATTTGAAATTTAATTAAGTCTTTATGAAAACATAGAGTGAAAGTTATCCATTTAAATGTAAATTTATAAATCTTGTTTTCTAATATTTGTAAGATCCACATAATTATATCATACCTTGTAGTTAACCATCAGATTATTTGAAAATATATGTCTATACACTTACATGAGGAAAATATAAATTATCTAAGTTGTTATTACATAATATTGACACATATTGTAGATCATATCCTGTCATTAAAGATAATTTTAAGTGTTTATGGAAATTGTCTGGGTCTTCATTCATTTTAATAATTATTCTCTATAATTTACCAAACAGCAATCTATCAATCAATCAATATTAAAGGTCAAGATCAAGGAAAGTGTATTATCCTAATTAAATCCTGTCAGCATAATAAAAACAAATTTTTCAGACAACACATTTATATGAATGAAAGAGATGTTGTATTTATGTCAATAAGACTGCAACCCTTTGACAAAAAAAACCAAACAACACCTAGACCCTGAGCATAAAGTTTTCAACAATACACATGTGTCTATGCAAGCTCTTGAAGTGTCCTAAATTGTTTCTTTCAACAAATCATGGGCTTTGCAATATTTTTGGGAGATATATTTTTGAGCTTTTCCAACAGTACCTCAAGTATTAATCATGTGTTCTTCTATAAAACATACTGTTTCATGCATACTGAATTTAAATGCTTTCGAGGGAGAAGGGTCACAAAGGGTTAAAATTGGCCCTCATACCCTATATCAGGTTTTTGTCGTGTGTATTTTTAAATATTTGCTTCGTTCACAGCAGCTGAAGAAAAGTGAAAATTTGAGTCTGAGTAAATTTTCCTGCATATTCAAGATTTATTGCTGTTTAAAAGTTTCAGAAATTGTACTGTTAATTATTAGGCATATTTGATATTGATATGTAAACCCTAATTATCCTAGAGGTGACATAACATTAAATATAAAATCAGTCTTTTGTGTTTTTTGACAGATTAGAAGAATGTGCATACTTAACTTTTTCATAATAATTAAAATGGCTAATCATACATGCCATAACTTTTTCAAAGGCCCGAAATATTGTGAGCCTAACTTCTCTGCGAAATTTGTTACCCAAAGTCCCGAAATATCGTGAGCCTAACTTCTCTGTGAAATTTGATATCCAAAGCCCCAAAATATCGTGAGCTTAACTTCTCTGGGAAATTTGAAATCCAAAGGCCTGAAATATCGTGAGCCTAATTTCTCTTTGAAATTTGTTATCCAAAGGCCCGAAATATCGTGAGCCTAATTTTTCTGCGAAATTTGTTATCCAAAGGCCCGAAATATCGTGAGCCTAACTTCTCTGCGAATTTTGTTATCCAAAGGCCTGAAATATTGTGAGCCTAACTTCTCTTCAAATTTTGTTATCCAAAGGCCTGAAATATTGTGAGCAAATTTCTCTTTGAAATTTGTTATCCAAAGGCCAGAAATATCGTGAGCCTAACTTCTCTGCAAAATTTGTTATCCAAAGGCCCGAAATATCGTGAGCCTAACTTCTCTGCGAATTTTGTTATCCAAAGGCCTGAAATATCGTGAGCCTAACTTCTCTGCGAAATTTGTTATCAAAAGGCCCGAAATATCTTGAGCCTAACTCTCTGCGAAATTGTTATCCAAAGGCCCGAAATACCACGAGCCTAACTTCTCTGCGAAATTTGTTATCCAAAGACCCGTAATATTGTGAGCCTAAATCCATCAATTGGAAACACAACTTCAAAATACTGATGGATTCAGTCGAGGATTATGCCAGGCAATGGGTTAAACGCGAGAAAGAGGGCTTAGATACTCTTTCTGAATGGATTAAGGCTGTGAGGTCTATGATACAAATCAGAATTAAGAAACTGAATGGGTCTAATAATAGCCATGCTAAATCAATCTTTAAAGACCCAAATGTTGCAAATCACTTATCCTACCTCCATGACAAATATGTTGTTGTCCCTGCAGATAAAGCCCCAAACAACATCTTTTTGTGTGTAAATCACATTACATCAACTGCTTGATAAATGAACTAGGTATTGACAGTTCACTTGGAAACTCAACATTTACCCCCACGACACTTACTAAAGAGGAAATCCTGGATAAGCATAGGTCTGTTCTATGTTCCTTTGGAATTTCAACTAAAGATGAAGAACTGGATTTTCCATCACTGTATTGGATACCTAAACTACATAAGTGTCCTTACAAACAACGGTATATTGCTGGGTCTTCCATTAGTGCTCCACGAAACCTCTTTCTAAATTATTAACATCAATTTTATCAGCATTCAAAGCCGGCCGTCAAAGTTATTGTGAAACTACCTATTCTAGAGGTGGTGTGAATCAGATGTTGATACTTAAAAATTCCAAAGATCTTTAAAGCACATACAATCTAAGACTCTTTCATCTTGCAATAGTATTAAAATATTTGACTTTTCTACACTTTACACAAGTATTCCCCATTCCAAACTAAAATAAAAATTTAGAGAGTTGGTCCTGCTTTGTTTCATAAAAAAGAATGGCCAACGTAGATATAAGTATCTTGTCTTAGGCAGGGATAAATCCTACTTTGTAAAAAATCACTCTGATTCGAACAAAAAATTCTCTGACACTGACATTATCAAGATGCTTGATTTCTTGATTGACAGCGTATTTGTTATGTTTGGAAGACGTGTTTTTCAACAAACAATCGGCATTCCCATGGGAACAAACTTGTTCCTTTATTCATATGAGGCTGACTTCATACAGGAACTTCTTAGGAAGAAAGAAAAGAAGTTAGCAGTATCCTTTAACTTTACTTTCCGCTATATAGATGATGTTCATCATGTGGAGCAGGATCTGCTTACCCTTCCGGAGCACCTGAGATCACCCCCAGTTTTTGGTGGGGTTCCTGTTGCTCAGTCTTTAGTTTTCTATGTTGTGTTTTGTGTACTATTGTTTGTCTGTTTGCCTGTTTGTCTGTTTGTCTTTTTCTTTTTTAGCCATGGCTTTGTCAGTCTATTTTTGACATGAGTTTGAATGTCCCTCTGGTATCTTTCACCTCTCTTTTGACAACACAGTAATCAGTGACATTTTAAAAATGTTATAGGCTATGATCTATTGATTGATAACCCAATCATTATTCATATGTTGTACAAAATGAAATACACCTAACTTTACACAGATATTTGTTTTTGTTATACCCTCATACAAATGATCAAAACCCTCAACTTTTAGCATGCTGCACAATTTACATTCCTTAAAAGTTCTTTAAAATTATGTGTATTTTAGTTTTTTATGCTCATATTTATTTGTAATCGATACCTGTCAGTCAATCAAGTTTATGTTATTAACACTTTAACAATACGATACAGTTTTTTTTTTTCAGTGTATCTTCCCATTCAGCAACAATTATACACAGTGAAAATTAAACCTGTCCATTTTGTCATCAAATCACAAAAAAAAGCTGATGTGAAAAAAACCTGATATACGGTATTCTAATGCTTTTTAAATCAGGTCAAAATAGAATTCACATAGAAATAGTTGTGATATTACTGTTCATACAAAATAACTTCTTTTTGACACATCCCATTATTGATAACATTTAAGTAATGACCCCTTAATTGTGCATAATTTGTGTTGTAACATTAGTTTTGGTCCAATTTCACCAAAATTTATAACAGTTTTTAGCATAATTTACTTTGGTCCAGAATATTTTTGTGTCCAAGGATGCATTTTAAAGATTGGTACCTTTTCATTAAAGAATATTTTGGATTGTAGGTTGTTGCCAAGGTTTTCCTAAAGCTTTTGTGTCAGAAAAATGCACCAAATCATTGTTTTTGATGATATATTGAAAATGTGCTGACTTTGGAGCCTATAATATACCCTAATGAGGAAATTTGTTTTACTGAGCAATAAGGCTTTTGAAATAGATAAAGGAGTAGGTCCAGTAAGACCCCTTTTTGGCCCCAAAATATAGCAGTTTTACAAAATTGTAAAAATGTAAACTTTTAGCTATTTATTGGAAAGTAGAATACTTCTGCTACATAAATATGGACTGTTTTTGACAATACAGTGTACATATATCGGGTACTAGCATCATTAAGTCATGCTATATTACTGAAATCTTCACAATTTTAACATTTGAGTTAAATTTTAGACGGTTTTCGCCTTAAATGGAAGTGGCCGCATTTGTGTTCATTCTTAATATTTAAATGTAAGTTGTATTTGATGATAATACATAACATATATAAAGGTTGAAAGTGAACACGGATGCGGCCACTTTCGTTTTTGGCAAAAACCATCTGAAAAGTGACATAATATGGCATATTAATAGATTTTTCATATTTAAGCTTTAAGTTCAAATCTTTCACATAAACTAATTGAATCGACTGAAGTAGACACTTAAGTGTTTAAAAAGTGTTCAAAATCTTTCGTCAGATGAACCTGAAATTTGAGGCCAAAATCGGGCCTTACTGGACCTACTCCTTTAAGAAACAAATTATGGCCTTTTTGATATTTAATGATAAATTTGAAATTCAAGGCCATATTTGGCCAAAAGTGAACCTTGTCCTGTACTACAAATATGATTTTGATACCATTATCATTTAACACCATAAGAGACTTAAGAATAAATAAGTGCAATCCACCATCTTTATTACTAACGACTGGTAAGTCGTAGAGTCCTTAATGTTCTGTTTTTGCCATTATATTGAAATTGATTACTGTGGATTCATTTGTTTTTGTGGGTTTCATTTTTCGTGGATTGAGGAAAAATATTTGATTTCATGGTTTTGTCTTAGTCTGGCATACAAGCCTATAGAATATTTGTATTTTCAGTTGAACATTTAAATTTGTGGTTCACCTTGACCCACAAAATCAATTGATATCCAATGAACGATAAGTAATCCACAGTACTACTATTTCATATAATATAAGCTTCTGGTGTGCAGTTTGAGAATAACCATGATATAAATTTTAAGTGTTTATTCTAGGTACAATGGAGAGACATTCCACCAAGTCATTTAAAATGAAATCCAACAGTGATCTTGTAATGAAAAATGAGGTAAATAATTTTGTTGTATAATATATTTCTATATGTTAACCCCCAAGGGTGACTGGGTAATAGAAGTATGGTCACCATTGGTCTTCCTCCGACCGGCAGTAAAACCCGTGCTAAAGTGGGGCGTCCGTTTGGCTGTGCGGGATGTACAAATTTGCAGCCACGTCCGGTCAGAATGGGGACGTTAAATCTGATGCCTCGTGTAAAGAAAGTGCCACGTTCTTTGCACGTTAAGAACCCATGCAACAACTCTTTGAGGGGTCCGTAGGTGACCTGTTGCAAGGCTAAATTTCTGTCCCTATCGAATATACCCTCATTTCCCGTGGCAGTCTAAATTTCTCCGACCTTAATCCCTAAATCTATTACAGAACCTACCTATTGTATTTATTGTGAACTTGTTCTCGTCCTGAATATGCATGAAATATTTGCCACTGGACGTTAAGCAACCAACAATCAATCAATCAATTCTATATGTTATAATGCATTTATCACCAGTTTCTTATTATTAATACAGATGTCATATGAAAAAAAAATGAAAAAATCAACTGATTTATATCTGTTAACATACTGTAAACCAACTAATTTTCGTGTGTAGAAAAATAATGCAATTTAAATTGTCGTGAAGATATTAAATTTAGAACTTTTATTATTTAACTACATCAAGTAAATTTGAAAATTGTGAAATTAAATTGCTGCAAAGTGGGACAGAAAGGGCTAAACGCGAAAATAAAGTACCGGTATCTACAAAAATAAGTTGTTTTACAGTGTGTAGCTGTACTACATTAATTCCCATGTCAAGTGAAGCACGCACAAAATAATCAATATTTTAGTATAAAAAAAGAAATGTCTGAGATTATAAGACACAACTAGACAAGGGACAATGATGGTGCTGTTACTAAAAGATATTAATAAGATCGAATAAAAGGAATTCAAACTTTTAAAATGAAAAATAAAAATAAAGACATAATGTGTTAACTGATAAAAAAATAAGCATATTATTTTTTGTCTTTAGCATGTGTCTTTAACATTTGATGGTACAACTGGTGCCCTGAAGCAGATAACAAATCTAGACAGTCGAGTAACAGTACAAGTGAAGCAAGAGTTGATGTACTACATAGGTGTGTCAGGATCTTCAAAATCTTCAGCTCTCAATGCTCAGCCATCAGGAGCTTATATTTTCAGACCAAACGAAACTGAACCTTTGTCTTTCCATGCCGACTTAAAGAAAACAACTGCATTCAAAGAGGTAAGTATAAAAAATAATAAGATGTGATATCATTGCCAATGAGACAACTCTCCACCAGAGACTAATGACATAGAAGTAAACAACTATAGGTCACTGTAGGCCTTCAACATAGAGCAGAACTTATACCTCAGAGCAAGCTATAAAAGACCATGAAATGACAAATGTAAAATAATTCAAATGAGAAATTTAACAACCTGATTTATGTACAAAACAGTTAACAAAAGACAAATATGATATCCAGCAACGAATGAAAACCACTGATTTACAGGCATTACATAGTAAACGACAAACAAAATAAAATATCTTGAAAACAGGTTATTATAAAACAAAACTCCCCCTAGAAAACTTTTTAGGAGATAACTGTATTGTAATTGAAGATTTTCGGATATCAATTAAAAGATTGATACCCACAAATCTTCAAATACAATGCATGTACTCCATTCTAATACAACTGAAAGACAACATCCCTTAATCATTCATTTTAAAATCGTCCACCCATGTTCACTCACATGCACAATTTCAGACCATCAAGCATGGAAACGGTGCCCTAAATTTTGTGGCATTCTCCAATCAAAATGAACGTTACAAATAATGTTGCATTAGAATCCTACCTTGAAGGTTGGAAAAGTTGATTTAAAAACTGATCAACCAGTTGGAAAATCCCAGCCCATTACTAGATAAGAGCGGTTGTTAGTAAAAAGAAGTGCAGTAAATTGAAAAACAATCTTGCCATGCAATTCCAATGGTTGGTTTTCTGTTTCAGATGTAAATTGGAAATTTTAAATTTCAAACATCAATTACCAGATAATATAGTAAAAAAAAAGTTTGACACGTTAGTTCATGTGGTGTTAGTATAGTTTGTAAATTAAAATGGTTGATATTTCAGGGTGCACTTGTACAAGAGGTTTATCAGAAGTTTAGCCCTTGGGCAACACAAGTGATAAGACTTTATGATGGAGCAAAACATGCAGAATTTGAATGGACAGTTGGACCAATTCCTGTCAGGTAATCGTTTTTTTTTAGCTCACCTGGCCCAAAGGGCCAAGTGAGCTTTTCTCATCACTTGGCATCCGTCGTCCATCGTCGTCGTCATTGTCGGCGTCGTCGTCGTCGTCTGTCGTTGTTAGCTTTTTCCAAAAATCTTCTCCTCTGAAACCAATTTAACCAAACTTGACCACAATCATCATTAGGGTATCTAGTTTAAAAAATGTGTCCAATGACCCCACCAACCAACCAAGATGGCCGCCATGGCTAAAAATAGAACATAGGGGTAAAATGTAGATTTTGGCTTATATCTCTGAAACCAAAGCATTTAGAGTAAATCTGACATAGGGTAAAACTGATTATCAGGTCAAGATCTATCTGCCCTGAAATTTTCAGACAAATCTGACAACCTGTTGTTGGGTTGCTGCCCCTGAATTGGTAATTTTAAGGAAATTTTGCAGTTTTAATACGACCGCAAAAAAAGTTTTGTGGTCGTATATTGGTATGACGTTGGCGTCGTCGTCGTCCGAAGACACATTAGTTTTTGCACTCTTAACTTTAGTTTAAGTAAATGGATCTCAATGAAATTTTACCATAAGGTTCAATACCACAAAAGGAAGGTGGGGATTGATTTTGGGGGTTATGGTACCCACAGTTAAGGAATTAGGGGCCAAAAAGGGGCCAAAAATAAGCATTTTTGTAACTTCCAGACATAACTTGTGTGTAAGTGTTTGGATCTCTCTGACATTGTACCACAAGGTTCCATATCACAAAGGGAATGCTGGGATTGATTTTGGGGGTAATTGCCTCCAAATTTTAGGAATTAGGGGCCAAAAGGGGCAAAAAACAAGCATTTTTCTAGTTTCATGACAATAACTTGTGTGTAAGTGTATGGATCTCTCTGACATTGTATCACAAGATTCCATATCACAAAGGGAAAGCTGGAATTGAGTTTGGATGTAATTGCCCAAAAAGTTTAGGAAAAAGGGGCCAAAAAGGGGCCAAAAATAAGCATTTTTCTAGTTTCCAGACAATAACTTGTGTTCAAATGTATGGATCTCTATGAAATTGAACTGCAAGGTACCATACCACAAAGGGAAGGCTGGGATTGATTTTAGGGGTAATTTCCTCAAAATTTTAGTAATTAGGGGCCATAAAAGGGCAAAAAAACAAGCATTTTTCTAGTTTCAGGACAATAACTTGTGTGTAAGTGTATGGATCTCTCTGACATTGTATCACAAGGTTCCATATCACAAAGGGAATGCTGGGATTGATTTTGGGGGTAATAGCCTCCAAATTTTAGAAATTAGGGGCCAAAAAGGGGCAAAAAACAAGCATTTTTCTAGTTTCATGACAATAACTTGTGTGTAAGTGTATGGATTTCTCTGACATTGTATCACAAGGTTCCATATCACAAAGGGAAAGCTGGGTTTTAGTTTGGGGGTAATTGCCTTAAATGTTTAGGAATTTGTGGCAAAAAGGGGCCAAAAAACAAGCATTTTTCTAGTTTCCAGACAATAACTTGTGTTCAAGTGTATGGATCTCTCTGAAATTGTACTGCAAGGTACCATACCACAAAGGGAAAGCTGGGATTGAGTTTGGGGGTGATGAATCATAAGGGGGTTCAAAAAATTTGGGGGGATTTTTTTTTCCTTTTTTTTCTTTAAAATTTTCCATTTTAAATTGGTTATTTCTGATTTGTATATAAAAGCAAATAATAATGATATGGTTTGAATAGATAAATTAAAAATTTGTAAGTTCTTAGACCACTTTCATTCTGTGTGAGAAACCTATGCTGTGTCAAATATTTAATTACAATCCAAATTCAGTGCTGTATCAAGCTTGAATGTTGTGTCCATACTTGCCCCAACTGTTCAGGGTTCGACCTCTGCGGTCGTATCAAGCTGCGCCCCAGCCATTTTATTGGTTATTATCTTGAATATTATTATAGATAGAGATAAACTGTAAACAGCAATAATGTTCAGCAAAGTAAGATCTACAAATAAGTTGTCATGACCAAAATTGTCAGTCGACCCCTTTTGGAGTTATTGCCCTTAATAGTCAATTTTTAACAATATTTTGTAAATTTTTGTAATCTTTTACAAAAATCTTTTTATCTGAAACTACTGAGACAAATTTAACCATACTTGGCCATAATCATTATTAGGGTATCTAGTTTAAAAAATTTGTCCGATGACCCCACCTTCCAACCATCATGGCTGACTTGGTTAAAAATAGAACATAGGGGAAAGATGCAGTTTTTGGTTTATATTTCTGAAACTAAAGCATTTAGAGCAAATCAGACAGGTGGCAAAACTGTTCATCAGATTTAGATTTATCTGCCCTGAAATTTTCAGATGAATCCGACAACCTGTTGTTGGGTTGCTGCCCCTGAGTTAGTAATTTTACAAAAAATTTGCAGTTTTTTGTTATTATCTTAGATATCATTATAATATCTAATATCTAATACTATTAATTATGATTTTAACCTTATTTTACATGATTTCCAAAGCATCAGTAAATACAGGTGAGCGACACAGGCTCTTGAGAGCCTCTAGTTAGTCGTGTCATCAATTATCATAATTGGACAAGGATTATTTATAGTGTACTGGTTACCTAAAGTAATTAAATCTTTCAGTGAATACTAAAAATAGATTCAGGTATCATAATGCAAATAAATTGTTAGGTATAAAGCATAGATGAATTTAAGATTTGAACGTTAATATATAGTTTAAAACTTTGACAGAAGGTATCAATGCAACAGTAGGCCATGTGATGTCTAAAAAAAAAGACCAGGAATGTCATGACTTGGGTAACATTAAACTGTATTTAGCAGTCTTGGGTATTATCTGTTGAATGCAATATACAGAATTCAACCTATTTTATTTGGTAATACTTCTCTCTATGACTTTCGGCGATAAAATGGTAAGCATATATAAGTAAAAGAGTAGCAACGCAAGCTCAATTATCACAACACTTACTACAACATATGGGTAAAAAGATAACAGAAATTACCAAGAATATTGGACAGTGCAAAAGACGACACCAACCACCAACAATAGATGTATAAACAAAGACAAAGAGCACATGGTCCAGATAGCCTGACTTTGTCAGATATGAAAAGGTGTAGGGTTAAATCAGTTTTACATGTACACACACCTCCCCTTTTCCTATCTAGATTATTTGTCATAGATTAAAACACACAATAAAAGATAAAAAAACCTACCATGATACAAATAAGATGTACATGTTTTATTTGCTGAAATTAGTAGGTGGGTACTCTTACTTTATAATTTTATTATTCCAAACTAGTGTAGCAAAAATATTAATAATGTATTATACACATTAACTTTAATAATTGGTCAATGGACACGGTTATCTTTCTTTGATTTGTGTTGGCCCTAATATAGTCCCTAGTGTGGACTGCGTATAACTTGCAAATTTTTTTTTTCATACATCTTCCAAATTTATTTCTTTATATTTTAAACATATTTTTAGTTAAAGCTGGTAGACTTTTCTATAATTTTGATATAATTTGTACCAAAAGTAATGCACTACACTTTAAAAAATCTCATTGAGATAGAGCAGGTGTGATTATCTAAATTTGCGTTTGTCGTTTGAAAGAAATGCATTACAGAACAACTGTGTTCATGGGCCAAGTAAGTAATATATATGTGTATGATACAGTTGTATTTTAACATTTACTATTTTGTATTACAGTGATATGAATGGGAAAGAAGTAATATCAAGATTCAGTACTGACCTGACCACTAAAGGTGTTGTGTATACTGATGCAAATGGCAGGGAAATTTTACAGAGAAAGTAAGTCAAAAATAATTGACTATGAAAATATATCTTCTCTTTGAATTTATGAATTTTGTATTTATGATTATTTTTGAAATAGATACATATAGAGATTATCATTTGGCTTTTTCAATATCACATTCGTATTAACCTCAGACACCAATATAATACCAAGAGTTCTGCTCAAGGGATTATATTGATTTAGGGCTGATACAGTGTGATATTGAAAAAGCCATATTATATACACTTTGTTTTATTATATTCATGTGGCATAACGTAAAAAACTTTGCAATTGTGACTGATATCCATGACTTGACATTATACAAATTATGGGTTTGATAAAGCCTTTGCAATCGTGACTGATTCGATATCATCACGAATGGCTGATACAGCACAATTGCCATTGATTGCATTAAACATACAATTTACTTGTATTTACCACTAAGTATAAAATTAATTTATAAATATATCGATTTCAGGTAGAAATTGTGGTAAAAATGTTTAGATTTTGTTTTAAAAGTTACAAAAATCAAAATCCAGTCAATGGTAGTTTATCTACTGTTTCACTAGGCTGTTAACACTCAGATTGTGTGTCAGAACCTTGTTCTTAGAATGTGCATTCTCAACTCCAATCTTAATTGACTGTGGTACGTGGGTGGTTCTCTCTGGGCACTTCAGCTTCTTCCACCAATAAAATCTGACCCCTGTGTACTTCATTAAACATTTAAATTCATGGTTTACCTATATACCAGATATCCACAAAAACTTGCATCCCACGAATAATAATGAATCCACTGTATTTGAATTTTTCAAGGACACTACAATATGTCAAATTACAAGAATGGCAAAAATAGCACACTTCATACTACGTAATTGATTTACGGTCAATGATTTGTGTTTTACAGGAGAAATCATAGAGACACATGGAATTTTACCAATACAGAACCAGTCTCTGGCAATTATTATCCTGTTAACAGTAGAATTTATCTTAGAGTAAGTACAGGCCAGCACTAAGTGAAAACCTTTCTTTAAAGTAGCCAGATCTTTAATAGACCTACATTTGCCCATTAGTGAATGATAGGAATTACTAAAGGAGTTTAAGAGGAAAGATATTTTTCAATAGACAAACTTTTATTTGTAATTAAGATCATATTGATCTGTATATCTTGAATATTTCCTATTTGTTTATACGTAACAACACTTGGAGCATTTACAAAAAATTGTACTAAAACAATAGCTGATCTTATTTTTACTATAAGCAGAAACTGCACTTAACATGCAATCAGTAGTTTCTTTAGAAAAAAAGAAACCCTTAAACATCAAATTAACATACAAATTTAAATTGAAAGATATCGTTAATTATTGAACATGATATTGTTAAAGATACCACAGAATTTAACATCTAACCAAAATACAAAAAAGGCTTGTTTACATTATGTAATGGTTATTGTACCTTCTAGGATGAGTCTAAGAAGATACAGGTTACAGTACTGACAGACAGAAGTCAAGGAGGTGGTAGTATAACAGATGGTAACCTAGAACTCATGGTAATTGTTTGTTTCAGTAGCTTTATCTTTGTCAGAATTTTTATTTATTACTCAGAGATTACAGTTAAATAACAAAAAAAGAAAACTGTAAATTAAGAAATTATTGTGGAGTCTTTTTTAATGTGAATTATGCAACTTGATGAGTATCGTAATAATAATATATCTGTATGCAGTTTTCCCCAAAATGGCAATAATTAATCACGCATTTTTGTCCTTTCTTCAATAATAGATGCACACAATAATTTCTGCATTTACAGTATTGATAATTATTGTATTAGATAGAGGTACAGTTGTACATATAGTTTTCAAAACAGAAACTAAAGAAAAAAAGCTGAAAAGCCAAACAACCATACATTCAAAAGGAGAATATGAAATTAAAAGCTACATTTTTATCAAACATTAAAAATAGAAGACTTGATATAAAAGATGCAACTTCAAAATAGTTACATATAAAAATAAAAAGGTGTGGTATGATTGCCCATGAGACAAATTTCCACCAGAGACCAAATGACATAGAGACTAGCAACTATAAGTCACTGTACAGCCTTCAAAGGTCCTGACATGACAAATGTAAAAACAATTTAAACTAGAAAACTAACAATAAACGAAAAACATATATGATATACAGCAACATTCAAAATTGTTCCATGTTTGTATTGTAATGTCTGATGTAATTTTATAGAAAGAGGTCTTGATTCAAGTTTTCACAAACAACAGTTACTATACATGCTGAGGAGTTTTAATTTTAATCAAGCGGAGTAGATCTAAATATAAGAAACATTCAGGTTATTTCAGGAATACATTTAAAAAAAATAGATGATGATGATTATGGATGGCTACTTAACTTCCATTGGCAAATTAATAAGCATATGCAGGACGAGAACATGTTAATGTAATATAAATAAAAACTGTTGTTGAATGATTATTTAGGTGTATCTGATTTCTCATTTTCAAGTATATATACGACTGTTGTGGGATGATACTTAGGTGTATCTGATTTCTTATTGTCAGGTACATAGACGTCTGTTGTGGGATGATTATTTAGGTGTATCTGATTTCTTATTGTTAGGTACAGACGTCTTTTGTGGAATGATTATTTAGGTGTATCTGATTTCTCATTGTCAGGTACATAGATGTCTTTTGTGGGATGATTATTTAGGTGTATCTGATTTCTTTTTGTCAGGTACATAGACGACTGTTGTTGAATCATTATTTAGGTGTATCTGATTTCTCATTGTCAGGTACATAGACGACTGTTGTGGAATGATTATTTAGGTGTATCTGATTTCTTATTGTCAGGTACATAGACGTCTGTTGTGGGATGATTATTTAGGTGTATCTGATTTCTCATTGTCAGGTACATAGATGAATGTTGTGGGATGATTATTTAGGTGTATCTGATTTCTCATTGTCAGGTACATAGACGACTGTTGTGGGATGATTATTAAGGTGTATCTGATTTCTCATTGTCAGGTACATAGACGACTGTTGTAGGATGATTATTTAGGTGTATCTGATTTCTCATTGTCAGGTACATAGACGACTGTTGTGGGATGATTATTTAGGTGTATCTGATTTCTCATTGTCAGGTACATAGACGTCTGTTGTGGGATGATTATTTAGGTGTATCTGATTTCTCATTGTCAGGTACATAGACGTCTGTTGTGGGATGATTATTTAGGTGTATCTGATTTCTCATTGTCAGGTTCATAGATGTCTGTTGTGGGATGATTATTAAGGTGTATCTGATTTCTCATTGTCAGGTACATAGACCACTGTTGTGGGATGATTATTTAGGTGTATCTGATTTTTCATTATCAGGTAAATAGATGTCTGTTGTGGAATGATTATTGAGGTGTATCTGATTTCTCATTTTCAGGTATATATACGACTGTTGTTGGATGATTATTTAGGTGTATCTGATTTCTTATTGTCAGGTACATAGACGACTGTTGTTGAATGATTATTTAGGTGTATCTGATTTCTCATTATCAGGTACATAGATGTCTGTTGTGGGATGATTATTGAGGTGTATCTGATTTCTCATTTTCAGGTATATATACGACTGTTGTGGGATGATTATTTAGGTGTATCTGATTTCTTATTGTCAGGTACATAGATGTCTGTTGTGGGATGATTATTTAGGTGTATCTGATTTCTTATTGTTAGGTACACAGACGTCTTTTGTGGAATGATTATTTAGGTGTATCAGATTTCTCATTGTCAGGTACATAGATGTCTTTTGTGGGATGATTATTTAGGTGTATCTGATTTCTTATTGTCAGGTACATAGACAACTGTTGTTGAATGATTATTTAGGTGTATCTGATTTCTCATTGTCAGGTACATAGACGACTGTTGTGGAATGATTATGTAGGTGTATCTGATTTCTTATTGTCAGGTACACAGACGTCTGTTGTCAGATGATTATTTAGGTGTATCTGATTTCTCATTGTTAGGTACATAGACGACTGTTGTGGGATGATTATTTAGGTGTATTTGACTTCTCATTGTCAGGTACATAGACAACTGTTGTTGAATGATTATTTAGGTATATCTGATTTCTCATTGTCAGGTACATAGACGACTGTTGTGAAATGATTATTTAGGTGTATCTGACTGTTGTGGGATGATTATTTAGGTGTATCTGATTTCTCATTATCAGGTACATAGATGTCTGTTGTGGGATGATTATTGAGGTGTATCTGATTTCTCATTTTCAGGTTTATATACGACTGTTGTGGGATGATTATTTAGGTGTATCTGATTTCTTATTGTCAGGTACATAGATGTCTGTTGTGGGATGATTATTTAGGTGTATCTGATTTCTTATTGTTAGGTACATAGACGTCTTTTGTGGAATGATTATTTAGGTGTATCAGATTTCTCATTGTCAGGTACATAGATGTCTTTTGTGGGATGATTATTTAGGTGTATCTGATTTCTTATTGTTAGGTACATAAACGACTGTTGTTGAATGATTATTTAGGTGTATCTGATTTCTCATTGTCAGGTACATAGACGACTGTTGTGGAATGATTATTTAGGTGTATCTGATTTCTTATTGTCAGGTACACAGACGTCTGTTGTGGGATGATTATTTAGGTGTATCTGATTTCTCATTGTAAGGTACAAAGACGACTGTTGTGGGATGATTATTTAGGTGTATCTGATTTCTCATTGTCAGGTACATAGACTTGTAGGATGATTATTTAGGTGTATCTGATTACTCATTGTTAGGTACATAGACGACTGTTGTGGAATGATTATTTAGGTGTATCTGATTTCTTATTGTCAGGTACATAGATGTCTGTTGAGGGATGATTATTTAGGTGTATCTGATTTCTCATTGCTAGGTTCATAGACGACTGTTGTGGGATGATTATTTAGGTGTATCTGATTTCTCATTGTCAGGTACATAGAGGACTGTTGTGGGATGATTATTTAGATGTATCTGATTTCTCATTGTCAGGTACATAGACGTCTTTTGTGGGATGATTATTTAGGTGTATCTGATTTCTCATTGTCAGGTTCATAGACGTCAGCAGCCAGTTGTACGAACATGTCATTAGTCTAATGAGTCATTAAGTCTTCATTAGCCTAATACATCATAAAGTCTTAATGAAGACTTAATGACCCATTAGGCTTATGTCACGTTCGTAAAACCGGCTGCTGTTGTGGGATGATTATTTACGTGTATCTGATTTCTTATTGTCAGGTACATAGACGTCTGTTGTGGGATGATTATTTAGGTGTATCTGATTTCTCATTGTCAGGTACATAGAGGACTGTTGTGGGATGATACTTAGGTGTATCTGATTTCTTATTGTCAGGTACATAGACGTCTGTTGTGGGATGATTATTTAGGTGTATCTGATTTCTTATTGTTAGGTACAGACGTCTTTTGTGGAATGATTATTTAGGTGTATCTGATTTCTCATTGTCAGGTACATAGATGTCTTTTGTGGGATGATTATTTAGGTGTATCTGATTTCTTTTTGTCAGGTACATAGACGACTGTTGTTGAATCATTATTTAGGTGTATCTGATTTCTCATTGTCAGGTACATAGACGACTGTTGTGGAATGATTATTTAGGTGTATCTGATTTCTTATTGTCAGGTACATAGACGTCTGTTGTGGGATGATTATTTAGGTGTATCTGATTTCTCATTGTCAGGTACATAGATGACTGTTGTGGGATAATTATTTAGGTGTATCTGATTTCTCATTGTCAGGTACATAGACGACTGTTGTGGGATGATTATTAAGGTGTATCTGATTTCTCATTGTCAGGTACATAGACGACTGTTGTGGGATGATTATTTCAGTGTATCTGATTTCTCATTATCAGTTACATTTAGGGATGATTATTTAGGTGTATCTGATTTCTCATTGTCGGGTACATAGACGTCTGTTGTGGGATGATTATTTAGGTGTAGCTGATTTCTCATTGTCAGGTACATAGACGACTGTTGTGGGATGATTATTTAGGTGTATCTGATTTCTCATTGTCAGGTACATAGAGGACTGTTGTGGGATGATTATTTAGGTGTATCTGATTTCTGATTGTCAGGTACATAGACGTCTGTTGTGGGATGATTATTTAGGTGTATCTGATTTCTCATTGTCAGGTACATAGAGGACTGTTGTGGGATGATTATTTAGGTGTATCTGATTCCTCATTGTCAGGTACATAGATGACTGTTGTGGGATGATTATCTAGGTGTATCTGATTTCTCATTGTAAGTACATAGAGGACTGTTGTGGGATGATTATTTAGGTGTATCTGATTTCTCATTGTCAGGTACATAGAGGACTGTTGTGGGATGATTATTTAGGTGTATCTGATTTCTCATTGTCAGTTACATTTAGGGATGATTATTTAGGTGTATCTGATTTCTCATTGTCCGGTACATAGAGGACTGTTGTGGAATGATTATTTAGGTGTATCTGATTTCTCATTGTCAGGTACATAGAGGTCTGTTGTGGGTTGATTATTTAGGTGTATCTGATTTCTCATTGTCAGGTACATAGACGACTGTTGTGGGATGATTATTTAGGTGTATCTGATTTCTCATTGTCAGGTACATAGACGACTGTTGTGGGATGATTATTTAGGTGTAGCTGAGGCTTTAAATGAGACAGGAGTGGATGGCAAAGGATTGATAGCTAGAGGTAACATAGAAAGTTTATCAACAATTTCAGGTGCTGACAACTTGTTTTTGTAATTGGCAGATTTCAAGAAATAATTGGTTTCTGACATTACAAAAGTAACAGGGAGCTTTTGGTTTTCTAATTTTAAAGAATTTTAAAAGTACTTTATGTAAATCAATTGTTAATATTGTCAACTTCCCAGTTTCCTTTATAAAATTGCCATAGATTAAGTGTAATGCAAATCTAAAAATGGGTAAAAAGGGCTATTATCCTTGCAAGGTCTGTTTGAGTTTAATGTGACATTATATATTGAGTTTGATGTGACATTATATACATTTCTTAGAATGGTTCATAATTGACTTGTGAGCTGTGTAAATTTGTTTAGGGTGATGTAGAAAATCTTTAATATTAAACTCAAAACTGGGTATGATAAGAAAACTTTGTTTCATTTTTAGAAATAAAAAGAACTACTACCATTTCAGAATGATAAAGTCCTCTTAACTTTATTAATGTACTTTAAAACTGCCTTATGAATATAAAAATTTCATATTTTAATATTTTCATGACAGAATTATGCATAATGATTTCATAATATTTTCCCAAGTTTTTCTCAGTTTCTACATTACTCAAGCCTTTCAAAATGATGTTACTTTTATTGATAAATTAACAGGTTTATATAATCTGAACACTTAAGTAATAAAATGAAGATAAAGTAGTCAGATTATCTAAAATGACCATCTTCATTAGCTACTCTGATTGGATTGCAGTCAGTTTTAAAGATACCTTCCATGTAGTGTAATTGTACAACATCTCTATATTTTCTTTTTCTGTGTAGGATTTGTGTAAGAATGATTGTTTAATGCAAAATATACTTAATTGGGCTATATTACAGATTTTGATGAAATTTTTTATGCATTTTAACATTTATAATTCCAGAAATGCAACCGATTAAAAAATTGTGAAAAGGTCTATAAATGTATAGAATGTAGGTGAAAAGCAGCGAAAAATATATTTTTTTATTTTGAATTATGTTTTCTAAAATATTTGTCTACAGAATTCTTGTTAAAATTTTATGTTATTGCTGTTAAAATTTGTGTTTTAATGATAAGAAAAAATTCGGGGGTCACCCAGTTACATATACTAATAATGTAAAAGTAATAGTCTTGGTATGAGGTGATATTTGTAAATCCTAGGCTCATTGGCATTATCTTTTCTCTATATTACAGGAAAACACTTCATATATGTAGATAAGATAGAGAATTCAGCCAAATTCCATAGAGACATGGCCCTGAAACTGTATATGGCTCCAAGTTTGTCATTTACCACATCAACAATGAAACAATCTGATTGGAGTAAAACCTACCATACATCCGTAAGTCAGAACAGTAGTGAGATATTGTCAAATTTTTCAAGGTTTAAATTTATATATGAAAATCAGAACTTATTAAGTATAAATGCTAGTCATACTAAGAATTTAACAATTTGATAAAAAATATTAGTCATGCTAAGAATTGGGCAGTGTAAAAAAGAGTTAGGCTAAGAATTTGACACAGTGACTATAAAAAAAGGTTAACTTTAAGTCTTACTATTTTTATACGGGTCATATATTGGTATGACGTTGGCGTCGTCGTCCTTGTCGTCGTCCTTGTTGTCGTCCAAAGACACATTGGTTTTTCGCACAAGAACTTTAGTTAAAGTGAATGGATCTCAATGAAATTTGACCATAAGGTTCAATACCACAAAAGGAAGGTTGGGATTGATTTTGGGGGTTATGGTACCAACAGTTAAGAAATTAGGGGCCAAAAAGGGGCCAAAAATAAGCATTTTTCTAGTTTCCAGACAATAACTTGTGGAACGGTGTATGGATCTCTCTGAAATTATACCTTAAGTTTCCATACCACAAAGGGATGGTTAGGATTTGCTTTGGGGGGTTATGGCTCAAACTGTTTAGGAATTAGGGGCAAAAAAGGGGGAAAAACAAGGGTGTCCTGGTTAATGGACAAATACTTTAGTACAAAACATAATTTAAAGCAGTGTAAGGGAGGTAATTCAAATACATCATTTGAATTACCTCCCTTACACTGCTTTTAAATTATGTATAAAGTAATTGTTAATGAACAATTAAGACAATTTAAAATCAGTGTAAGGGAGGTAATCCAAATATAACGTTTTGATTACCTCCCTTACACTGCGTTTAAATTATGTTTAAAGAAATGCATATTTATAAAGGGAGACCAGTAAAAATATCTGCAAATGTTGCATCTTTTTTTTGTACAAAGTAATCCATATGAAAGATTTGACACCATATTTTAAATTCTATTATAAAATAGATTAAGTTAGCACTATGGTAAATTTAAATGGGTAATTATGGTTGCAAACTCCATTGGAAATTTGAATTGAGATTATGACCATATCTTGAGGGAAAGAATTTTTTTTCTGGTTAAAAAGGAGGGGGGGGGGGGGGGTAAAAAGAAATTGTGGGGAGTCAATTTTTTCTCATTTTAGATTTCAGAAATTAAAAAGAAAAATTCTTCAAATATTATTTTTTTTGCAAGGGAGGTGGGGTCAATTCACAACAGCAAAGTGTATTGCACAAAAGCAAAAAATTGAATATGAATTTAAATCATATAACCAATTCTAAGTTCTTTGACTACAGTTATTCTGTGTCAGAAACCTTTTATGTGTCAAATATTTAATTACATTCCAAATTCAGACCTGTATCAAGCGCGAATATTGCGTCCATTTTTGCCCCAACTGTTCAGGGTTGGACCTCTGCGGTTGTATCCAGCTGTGCTCGGCGAAGCAATTTATTAAAGAATATAGCAATCCAAAATTAGATTTTAAATGATTTGCTATTATTCACTCAAGTTATTCATTATGAGTGCATATTGGTCTTTAGTTAAGTCTATTTCTTTCTATAGGACCTGATTACTCGTGTTAATTTTCACCATAATTTTATAATACCAAATGAATTATCTCCCCTTAATATGTTATCAGAAATTGTAATAAACGTGAATTTTGTATTTATATGTAATCTGAATTTAATACATTTTTCTGCAAGCTTTTCCATGGTGTTTTTACCATGAAAAGATTTGTAGAATAATAAATGACTTGGAAGCTGTCCAAAAATTATATCAAATTTGTGTTCCCAAGTGGAATCTATATTACTGTAATTTACCAACATATGTGTAACTCTTTTGTTTATATATATATATATTTATACATAACCACTCTAAATATCAGCACAACAATTTTAAATCTGCAAATTTCAGGAATTTATACATATATTTATGTTATAATCAGTCATTGTATTGTATGGTATTGATTGTACTGTAGATTGTATTTTAGTTTAAATCCATACAGCTACAGAATTGAAAATGAAATATGATTTGATATTTTTTTTAACTTGTCAAACAATTAAATACAGAAATGTTAGTGTTGAAAACTTTGCAATTACATTAATGATTATTTTATTATTACCTCTATTTCAATTAATTTGTTTATAAATGTAATATATATTTAACATCACAAAATTTCTATTTCAAATCGACTTTTAGATCAAGGTTTAAATTTCAAATGACAAAGTGTTATTCACACGACAGGACTTAGTTTTGCAATTCCAAAGTATTCAGATACAAATTGTCATTTCCATTGAAAAGTTTGATTTTTATAAAATGAATTATCTTTTGAATTAGTGAAAATGATCTGTAATTGCAAATATTGCTCTATCAGTTAGGTATATATTTGAACATCTCAATATTTTGGTAAATTCAGGTTAAAATGTTATATTACTAAGTAATAGAATAAAGAGTTCAATTGATGTAAGAATATAGTTATTTTTCTCACATGAAGCTTGTACTATTTTATTTTAGTGGAGTGGATTGAAAACTGCTTTACCAGAAAATATCCATATGTTGACCTTTGTACAGTGGGCAGGGCCATCTTTTACTCCAAGAACTTCACAGCCATACCTTGTCAGATTTGAACATATTTATGAGAAAGATGAAGATGCAACACTATCTCAACCTGTTAAGATAGCTTTACAGGTACAGATGTTAGATTTTATCACATGTTGTCTATTCTCTAGTTTAAAAACATGTTATCTATTCTCCAATTTGAAAACATGTACCATAATCTATTCTCCAGTTTGAATACATGTACCATAATCAATTCTCCAGTTTGAAAACATGTAATCTATTCTTCAGTTTGAATACATGTGATCTATTCTTCAGTTTAAATGCATGTGATCTATTCTTCAGTTTAAATGCATGTGATCTATTCTTCAGTTTGAATACATGTAATATATTTTTTAGTTAAATGCATGTAATCTATTTTCCAGTTTGAATACATATCACCTATAATGGTTTACTTTTATAAATTTGGACTTGGATGGAGAGTTGTCTCATTGGCACTCATACCACATCTTCTTATATCTATGTCATCTATTCTCCAGTTTAAATGCATGTGATTTATTTTCCAGTTTGTATACTTGTCATCTATTCCTCAGTTTGAATACATGTCATCTATTCTTCAGTTTAAATGCATGTGATCTAGTCTTCAGTTTGAATACATGTAATATATTTTTCAGTTTAATGCATGTAATCTATTCTCCAGTTTGAATACATGTAATCAATACTCCAGTTTGTATACATGTCATCTATTCTTCAGTTTGAAAACATGTCATCTATTCTCCAGTTTGAAAACTTGTCATCTATTCTCCAGTTTGTATACATGTCATCTATTCTTCAGTTTGAATACATGTCATCTGTTCTCCAGTTTGAATACATGTCATCTATTCTCCAGTTTGAATACATGTCACATATTCTTCAGTCTGTATACATGTCATCTATTCTTCAGTTTGAATACATGTCATCTATTCTTCAGTTTAAATGCATGTGATCTAGTCTTCAGTTTGAATACATGTAATATATTTTTCAGTTTAATGCATGTAATCTATTCTCCAGTTTGAATACATGTAATCAATACTCCAGTGTGTATACATGTCATCTATTCTTCAGTTTGAAAACATGTCATCTATTCTCCAGTTTGAAAACATGTCATCTATTCTCCAGTTTGTATACATGTCATCTATTCTTCAGTTTGAATACATGTCATCTGTTCTCCAGTTTGAATACATGTCATCTATTCTCCAGTTTGAATACATGTCACCTATTCTTCAGTCTGTATACATGTCATCTATTCTTCAGTTTGAATACATGTCACCTATTCTTCAGTCTGTATACATGTCATCTATTCCTCAGTTTGAATATATGTCATCTATTCCTCAGTTTGAATACATGTCATCGATTCCTCAGTTTGAACACATGTAATCTGTTCTTCAGTTTGAATACATGTCATCTATTCTCCAGTTTGAATACATGTCACCTATTCTTCAGTCTGTATACATGTCATCTATTCGCCAGTTTGAATACATGTCACCTATTCTTCAGTCTGTATACATGTCATCTTTTCCTCAGTTTGAATATATGTCATCTTTTCCTCAGTTTGAATACATGTCATCGATTCCTCAGTTTGAACACACGTAATCTGTTCTTCAGTTTGAAAACATGTTATCTATTCTTTAGTTTGAATGCATAGAGTCTATTCTTCAGTTTGAATACATGTAATCTATTCTTCAGTTTGAATACATGTCATCTGTTCTCCAGTTTGAATACACATCATCTATTCTGCAGTTTGAATACATGTCATCGATTCTGCAGTTTGAATACATGTCATCTATTCTTCAGTCTGTATACATGTCATCTATTCCTCAGTGTGAATACATGTCATCTATTCCTCAGTTTGAATACATGTAATCGATTCCTCAGGTTGAATACATGTAATCTGTTCTTCAGTTTGAAAACATGTCATCTATTCTTTAGTTAAAATGCATAGTCTATTCTTAAGTTTGAAAACATGTAATTTATTCTCCAGTTTGAATATATGTAATCTACTGTTGATTCATTAATATTCGTTGGATACTAATTTTCGTGGATTTCATGGGTACTGGGGAACCACGATTTTTAAATGTTCAACGAATGACATATTTTCGAAAGGAATGTACGCACACTTTGCCAAAGCCATGAAATTAAATATCCACGAACATGCAACTTTTCCTCAATCCACGAAAATTGGTACCCACGAAAATAAATGAATCCACAGTATTCTCCAGTTTGAATATACGTAATCAAATATTAGGAACTTCCCCCGAAGTCATGATAACCACAACAAGTGTTATTATTGAAAACATGTATTAGTGGATTGAGTTAAAATAATACACATAAATTTGTGCATTTGAATTTTAAAAATGTGTAAAGTTCAAGGAAATAAATTATAAATTTATACATTATAGATGCTTTGAAATAATAATTGAAAATAAGTAACAATGTTCTAAAAGGGTCTTGATATAGGTAAGCATTTTACTAGTACTGTTGTATGTATAAGCATTTTACTAGTACTGTTGTATGTATAAGCCTTTTACTAGTACTGTTGTATGTATAAGCATTTTACTAGTACTGTTGTATGTATAAGCATTTTACTAGTACTGTTGTATGTATAAGCATTTCCTAGTTTTTGGTGAGGTTTGTGTTGCTCAATCTTTAGTTTTCTGTGTAGTGTTTTGTTATTTTATTTTCTCTAATTCTTACCTGATTTATTCTTTTCCTGACCCGTTGATTATTTAAATTATACGAACCACAAAAATTTCAGTCGTATATTGTTATCATGTCGTCGGCGGCGGTGTCGTCGTCAGCCGCATCTGAAGACATTTGGTTGCCGGACGGTAACTTTAGTTTAAGTGTATGGATCTCTTTGAAATTAAACCAAAAGGTTCAATACCACAAAAGGAAGATTGGGATTGTTTTTGGGGGTGATGGTCCCAACCGTTTAGGAATAAGGGTGTCAAGTATTTTGCCGCTATTCTTTCACGGACTGTAACTAACGTCAACACGTTTATTACGTTATTGTAGTCATACAAGCAAGTAGAGTCATTAAAAGCAATTAGAACTGTTCACACGTATTCTATTTACACAAGCTAAGTACTAACCAACTAAACCCAAACAAAGGGGCCAAAACAAGCATTTTTCTAGTTTCAGGACAATAACTTGTGTATAAGTATTTTGATTGCTCTGAAATTGTACCACAAGGTTCAATACCACAAGAAGAAGGTTGGGATTCATTTTGGGGGTAATTGCCCAAACCGTTTAGGAATTAGGGGCCAATAAGGGTCTAAAACAAGCATTTTCTAGTTTTCAGCCAGGGGGGGGGGGGGGGGGGGGGGGGGTAAAAAAAAAATTGGAGGGGGGGGCAATTTTTTTCCTCAAAAGAAAAATCTCTTCAAATTTAATTTTTTTTGGAGAGGGGGTAAAAAAAAAATTTTTTTGGGGGGGTTCAATTTTTTTTCCCTCAAGATTTAAGAAATTGTCAATTTTCCAAAGAAAATTTTTAATTGGGGGTCACAATTTATTTTGCTAATTCTTTGTATATACTGTAAATTCAGAAATTATTGCGATGTTTTTATTATTGCGAAAAATGCGACACGGTTATAACCGCAATAATTTAAACTCGCATTTTGAAATTTGTTATATGAATTAAACAGGATTTTTCTCAATATCGCAAAAATTAAAATCGCATTTTAGTCTAAAATGACAAAATCACAATAATAAATGCACGCAATAATTTCTGAATATACAGTAGTCTGAAAACAGATTTACTAAGTATTGCGCAACAGCACAGTGTATTGCACGACAGCAAGAAATCTTCAATTGAATATAAATTCAAATCATACATTTGGATTCCGGACAATAACTTTAGTTTAAGTGTATGGATCTCTATGAAATTTAACCAAAAGGTTCAATAACACAAAAGGAAGGTTGGGATTGTTTTTGGATGTGATGGTCCCAACTGATTAGGAATTGGGGGGCAAAAATGGTCCAAAACAAGCATTTTTCTAGTTTCAGGACAATAACTTGTGTATAAGTATTTTGATTGTTCTTTAAATTGTACCACCAGGTTCAATACCACAAGTAGAAGGTTGGGATTCATTTTGGGGGTAATTGACCAAACTGTTCAAGAATTACGTGCCAAAATAAGTGTATGGATGTCTTTTAATTTGTACCACATTTTACAAAAAGAAAATTTCTTCAAAATTAATTTTTTTGGAAGGGAGGGGGTAAAAAAAAATTTTTTTGGGGGGGGGCAATTTTTTTTCCTCAAGATTTAAGAAATTGTCAATTTTCCATGGAAAAAAAATGGGGGTCACTATTTATTTTGCTAATTCTTTGTATATAGTCTGAAAACAGATTTACTAGCGTTCTAAAACCTACGGTGAGTGATTTTTTAAATCAAGGTCCAGCAGCTTATATTTCAACACTTTCAACAACAAGCAATATTAATCACAACACAAATCAGACACAGGATGCTATTCAAAGCACTTTTGTAAATCACAGAGCAAACGCAACTTATAACCCTTCTCCGAATTTCTATCATAGACTACCAAAGTTAGACTTGCCTTCATTTTCGGGAGATATTTTACACTGGCAGACATTTTGGGATTCTTTTGAATCAACAGTACACCAGAACCCTGCTCTAACAAACATACAAAAGTTTAGTTATTTAAATTCACAACTCCATTACGAAGCAGCACAGTGTATTACATTTATTTATACATAAATATGGAACTCACCTATACATAGAGTTAAGAAGGATATCCTAATTAAAGATTATTTGGAGGGAGGTTTGAAAATGCTTGATTTGAATATGTTCATTACAGCCCTTAAATCAACATGGATTAGAAGGATTTTGCAGAGAGATAGTAAATGGCAAAATATTTTCATGTCAAATATAGATAAAAGAAAGTTGTTTAGTTGTGGTGTTGATTATATTAGACAACTTTATATGACAGTTAACAACCATTTTTGGAAAGATGTACTAAGATCCTGGGAAATGATTATTCAAAAAGAAAGGAACTTGACTTATGATTCATTTTTATCAAATCCACTATGGCTAAATAATATTATTAAGATTGGTCATAAATCAGTAATTTATC